CCGAGCTCCGCAAGGGGAACATCGGGGAGCGCAGCAAAAACTGTTTTGCTAGCTGGATCTACGGCATTGCGAAGAGGCTCGCGATTGCCAAGGGTTGCACGGATGATCAGATCAAGGCAGTTTGCAGCAAGGCGTATGGCGACGGAGCCACCTTCTGGGACAAGCATTCTTCGAAGAAGAGGAAAGCGTGAGAACTTTCGCTGGGGGCGAGCAGTTCAGTTTGAGTCAGGGTATGTACACGTGCGATGGTTTACATCGAGGCTCGACTCAGTTGGGGTACTTGAGCTAACACGCCTCTTGTGTACAGCTACCCTGCCACTTTAAGTTCAGGTCTCTAGCGTCGCGTCGGGCACTCTGCGACTCTCAGTCTCAATCGGCGGGCCAATGCTAGGAAGCGTTTCGCGGCATACTCGCCGCCATCAGCAACCGCTCTGTAGGGGACCCCACTTGGTGAGGGAAAATCACACCAGCCCTCTGGGCTTACCCTCCCCCAAGATGGCCCCAGAAGGCCCAAGGAGGCCCCCGGAGGCCGAAGAAGGCCCAAGATGGCCCAAGAAGGCTCCAAGAGAGCCTTCAAAGTCGCAAGATGGCCTCCTAGATGGCCCATGCTACTTCAAGATGGGTCAATATAGCCTCCGACATACCCCCAAGAGGCCCCAAGCCAGCCCCAAGACGGATCCACGTGCCCTCCGAGCCCTCCACGGCGCCCTCCAAGATGCACATCCCCTCCAAAAGCCATAGGAAATCAACGTTCTTGGCATTACCGCCTTTTCGCTTCCGATTGGCATTGGAAGCCTCAAGATGGCCCCAAGGTGGCCCAAACGAGGCCTTAAGAGGGGCCCGAGAAGGCCGAAGACTGCCCCAAGATCGTCCAAGAGGCGCCCAAGAGCGCTCCAAGATGGCACAGGGATGCCGTTTGAGAGCCTCCGAGGGGGCGATGCTAATTGAGGGACCTCCTCGTTTTGAGCCATGGGGTCCAAGATGACCCCACGAGGCATCCCAGCCTCTCCCCAAAGACCCTCCACCCCGCCCTGTGTGGCCCAATATAGCTCCAAGAGGGCCCTAGATGAGCGAATATGGTTTTCAACATGGCCTCAGACAGCCAAGCATGACTCAATATAGCCTCCGACAGACCTCCAAGAGGCCTCAAGGCAGCCTCAAGATGGCCCAAGATAGCCGAGCATGGCTCAAGATAGCCTCCGACAGCCTCTAGACGAGCATGGCTTAAGATAGCCCCCAAGAGGCCTCAAGAACACTGGCAATCAATTCTGGATGGGCTGGTGGGGATACGCGAAGCGTCAAGAATTGATCAGCCAATAACGCCAGACTTTTTTTGTGATTTTGGGGATGGCCGCAATAGTTTAGGATGGGAGACCCCCGCGGCCCCTGCAGGGATCCACTGGCCTATGAAAGCTACGAGGTTCCAGGGTAAACCAAAACGAGCTCCCAACCAACGGTGTAATCAAACGTGCGCCCACATCAATCCCCCCCCCCCCCCAGCCCTCCCCACCATCCTGCACCCGCTCTTTCTCCCTGACCCCTCGCCCGCCCCTCTCCCCCTTTTACCTAACGCTTCTGGGAGAAATGATGTGACTTGGCAGATGTCGGTTGGAAGTTGTTGGCAGAGTTGCCTCCCGATACAATGGTGTGAATGCGTCTGGTTTCAGTAGCCCCTTTTAGCTCAGGCAGCATGCAGCCTCCTCGCAAGTTTGCCAGAACCACAGCCAAGCTTGCGGACCTCCCATGCGACCGCCTCGGCTCTGAGCAGTATTCTTAGAGATCCCAGCGAGCAAAATCTTCCAGAAGCGTCCAGCACATTCAGCATTCAAAAGGCCAGGCAACAAGTTGCATTTCAAGATACGGATTTCGGGCCCATCATCCAACACGTTGAGGCGCCAGGGGCGAATGGCAAAGACATCGGGCTTCACATCATTCATCCCTTCGCGTTTCTGCAGGCGGCGTGCAACGAGTCGAGTGAGTTTAGGTGTAGGATTGCTGATCTAATGAATCAAACAAAAGGGCATATCAGATACTCAGACGAAATAACTCCTGGGGGTGCGTTCTCGAGTTCCAATGACAGGCGCATCGAAGCAAGCTACTGGACTATAAAGGAGCTTGGGTGGCCTCTATTGTGCAATGAACAAGCTTGGTTCACATTAGCTGGCATGCGGTCCTCGTCCGTCGCTCAGCTGGCGGGCGGTGTATCAGAGTATATGAAGTTGGCGATTCGCAGTTTCTTCGGGGCCCCACGGGGCCGTGACATTCGCAGCGGAATAGAGTTCGAGATTCCTGGTGAGAATGGGCCGAGGCTTCTTCTTGGAAGGCTCACGATGCTCATCCAAGACGATCGTGCATTCAAGTTCTCGGTGCATTGTAAAGGTGCGACAGGGCACAAGATTTGCGCCCTGTGTCAAAACGTTGTCGGGCATAAGTCGGGGCTCTTGGGTAAAGACAGAACGGCGTTTCTTGTTAGTGCAAGCGACTTGGACGTCAGAAAGTACACACGCCACACGAATGAATCGATCATGCGTGTCCAGACGAGGCTCAAACAGTTGTCAGACGCTGGTGACAAAAAGGTGCTAGAAGACAAACAGACTCAGCTTGGATGGATTTTTAACGCGGCATCTTTACTGCATGATGCATTTTTAGACATCAAGCTTGTGGACATATGGTGCTGGGATTGGATGCATTGCTACATGGCCGGGGGGGTGATTGGACAAGAACTCAAACAGCTGATGCAGGACCTGAAAAATTCAACCTTGGCGGAGAGCAGCTGAACGAATACCTTCAACGTTGGAGCTGGCCTGCAGCTTACGCCAGCGTTCGGAAGATATGCAAAGGAAATGAAGACTGCAGACCTGGTGGATCGGCCCCGGAGTTCTTAAGCCTCGCGCCAGTGCTGGCAAAGTACCTGACGGATGTAGTTTTACCTTCAGGCCGCCTCCCGAATCACGTCGACAGCGGCGTGAAGCTTTGCAAAGTAGTGGAGCTCTTGCAACTCGTGAACTCGGGAGGCGTTAGTGCTGCAGCTCTGGGCGAAGCAATAATGCTTCACCTCGCATCTAACCAGAAGGCATACGGCACCAAACTTTGGAAGCCGAAGTCGGACTACGTAACGCACTTGCCAAGACAGTTGCTCCAACACGGTTGCTGGGTTTCAATTTTTTGTTAGAACGGCGCCATCGGACACTCAAGCGCATGGCCGAGCCTAGGCACAACGCGCGCTCCTTCGACAGGGGGCTCTTAGAGGAGTGCGTTCTCCAACACCTGTGGGGGCTCAAGTCACCGCTCGCAACAAGAGGTTTAGTGGATCCCCGACCAGCCAGTAAAAAGTTAGTTGAAACATTGCGTTCGTTTTTTTCTCTCCCTGAAGGGTCTGTGATACAGACCTCGAAAGCGTGCATGGTAGAGTGTCGTGTTGTGAGGATGGGCGATGCCATCGCTTTTCGCGACAGCTCTGGCAAGGCATGCTTTGGCCAGCTTTTCTTTAACGTGGAAATCGACGGGCATCTCATTGCTTGCATTTCGCAGTGGGAGTTGCTCGAAGTGAGGGGGGCCACTGCGAGGTGCGTTGTTCGAGACAACCCCAGGCCGTGGGACTCGTATTGCATCGCAGCGTCTTGCATCAGTTTTATAGCCGCGCCAGGCGCGATTTCGCAGGTGCTCTTGCCCACGCATGTGAAGCTTTGAGGTGCATTTCAGTGATTTGTACATGGAAATGGATAAACATACATTGCGATATGAGGTTATGCACCTTTTGCTTCATGTGTGCGCTGTCTAGATATGGAGTTGTATGTCTTGACCCTTTTGATGCGACTTGGCTGCACGCCCACTCCACGACGCGTACGAGAAGGTACAAAACACGGATGCGATAACATAGCAATCGCATGCAAAAACAAAAAACTCAGAACTAAACTAAAAAACTCAAAAAAAACACCCGAAAAAAAAACAAACATAGCTTCACAAAAAAACTCAACAAACAAAAAAAACAAAATAGCCAACAAGAAAAACAACTCACCAAAACAACAAAAATAGCCAACAACTAATAAAATTCAACCAACAACATTTTTTTTTTTAAAAAAACATTGAACATAAGTACGTCCGTCGACGTTATAACTTGGATAATTTGGATTTGCTAAGTTCGCGATCCTGGATCCTAAGTTCGCTATCCTGGATAGCGCACCCCCCGCAAACAGCTTACGCCCCTTGCGGAACCACGTTCACAACCAGGTTCTGAAGTACGTTCACAAGCAAGATCACAACGAGGATCGTAAGCCCGTGAAGGTCGATGTAAGCGGATATAACCACCACATCCATTTCACAACCCCCACATCGATTCCAGCAGAGCGCCGCGAGAGCGATTCCGGGATCAATTGCAAGGAAGTCCGAAGCGAGAGCGCGATTCTGGAGTAAAATGCGAGGAAGTCTCCGGCGGGAGCGGGGGTCCTTGCTAAATTGCGACAGAGTCTCAGGCGGGAGCCGTTGTTGTTGCTGTTGTTGTGGTAAATCGGGGGCCAGGAGCACAGTTCGACCCTGGTGATTTTCTTTTTGTAAAAAATAGCAGGGTGCGAGCCTCGGCGGAAACACTTCAATTGAACAAATACATGGACACCGGAGGGGGGATCGACCATACAGATTTTTCAGCAGTGAACGTCCACTAACAGACACGACAAAACCAACACCACACATACCAACAACAATCCGCAGCGTGGAAACTCAGGTCAGCCACGCGCCCAGGGACAGCGTCTGACCGCCCAGCCCCCTCACTCTGATGCTGTCCGGACCGGAGGAGTCGCTCCACCGGGAAAGCCGAAAGGCAGGGGCGGGCACCCACGCCTCGTCCTGGCTTCGTTTGATCTCCCCCCCCCCTCCCCCACTCCTCCCACCTCCCTCCTCCTCCTCATCCTCCTCCTCCTCCTCCTCCTCCTCCTCCTCCTCCTCCTCCTCCTCCTCCTCCTCCTCCTCCTCCTCCTCCTCCTCCTCCCCCCCGCCCCCGCGAGGGGACGACCGTCGCGGGCCCTCGCCACGCGGGCCCGGGCAGCGAGAGGGCAGCGTGGACGCCGAGCTGCTGCTCATCAGGCGACCCTCGCCCCGCTCCTCCCGGGGCGGGCGGCGCGGAGAGCGGGCGACGCGGATCGCGCACGAGTCGACGGCCAGGGGCCCAGCGAATATATAGATCTTCGTGGGCCTTGGAAACGACAGCAGAGCCGTTTTTTGACCGGTTCCGTCTTGCCGTTTTTCTTTGCCGGTTCCGACGCCGTTTGTGTTACCGGTTCCGTCGCCGTTTTGTGACCGGCTCCGGCTCCGGTGCCAATCCTGGAGCCGTTTTTTTGTGCCGTTTCCGGTCGCAGTTTTCTTACAGTTTCTATTTTCAAGGGACATTTTTTTGGTTTGGAAACAGTGAAAAAACGGCCCTGTCGTTTCTCGGGCCCGCTAAGATATAGATCTGCCTCCAGGGCGCTCGACTGGGGGGCGCGATGGAGATCGCACGGGAAACATCGACAGAGGCGGCGATCATGACGACGACAAGCCCCGCCCCCGCCCCCAAGGGTAACCCAGCGCGCAGCCAATCAGCCCCGCCCCCCCCCCAAGGGTAACCCAGCGCTCAGCCACTCAAGCACGGGAGCCGGCACAGACGCTTCCTCTGCCCCGCCGGCCAGCCCCTCATCAGGAGGGAAAACACGTTTTTGATCCGCGGGTCGAGAGCGCACCTCTTCCGGTCGAAGCTAAGCGGGCCGCGCACAGCTTTAATGAACAAAGGGGGGCAGAAGGAGGGGCCGTACGTCAAGGGGAGGGAACAAAACACACACAGACACAATGAATCCACGATTCCCTAGAAAAATATTGGAAAACATGAGCAATGGGGGGGAAAGACAATCATCAGGAAAATATGGGAAAATATGGGGCATCCTGTTCTTTGTGTGTATTTCTTTGTGTTTCCCAGGGCCCCTTGACCTCAGTCCTCCGGGCCTCGCAGCCCCGAGGGCGAGGCTCGAAGGCGAGGGACGAGGGCGCGGATCGAAGGCCGCCCTCGCACCCCCCCCGACGGTCGAAGGCGAGGACGATGGCCGAGGACGAGGGGGACGAGGCTCGAGGACGAGGACGAGGACGAGGGCGCGGATCGAAGACGCACTCGCAGCCCCGAGGGTCGAAGGCGAGGACGGGCCGAGGACGGGCCGAGGACGAGGGGGATGAGGTCCGAGGCCGAGGCTCGAGGGCGAGGACGAGGGCGCGGATCGAAGACGCACTCGCACCCCCTCGAGGATCGAAGGCGAGGACGAGGGCCGAGGACGAGGGGGAGTCAAGCAGTGGCGAAGCGTCTTGGCTCGCCTATAGCCCTACCAAACAATGTTCTCAGAGCCTTTCGTGGTTTCCACGACATGCTCTTAGAACATTTCTGTTTTAGATTGTCTTCTTTTTCACACGTCGGGTTTATGTTCTAAAAATGTTGTTTTTGTTCTTAGAGCATTTTTGGGTTCTTAGAACACTTCGTGGAATAACGATAGGAATGCCGGGACGGCCGGTCCCTGCTCAAGGGCCGAGGATCGAGGCGGGGCGTTTCGCTTCGACCTCGGCCCCGGGCGGGGCCGCCGTCGGGCCCCGGGGGGGGGGAGGGGGGGGGAGGGCCTTCGGGGGGTCGCGGGCCGAGAAGAGCGCGTCGGCGGATGGCGAGGGATCGAGGCCGTGGGGCGTGCTTCGCGCTCCCCCGGGAGGCCGTGGGGCGTGCTTCGCCGCCGCGGCTGGATCGCGCCCCCGGGGGCATGGTCGGGGAGTCCGTTTTTGCTGGGGGGCCCGCCTCGAGCCGGGCATTGTGTGGGGAGTGTCTTCCTACAGGCGGATTCTGGACGAGGGATAGAACATGATTGAAAATAGTGAAAAGTAACCCCCAAAAAATATCCAGAATTATTCTAAATTTCGTCACCACACCATTTGTTTTACAATTTTGGGAATCTTCCTCCTGTGGAGGGACACGCCCGACTTCCGCCGAGAGCCACGGCCCCCCGCGCGTCGTGTTTTTGGGAGAGCCTCGGCGCAGAGGGTTTTTTTGTTGGGCAGGGCGCCGTCCTCCGTGGGCTCCCTGCCAGAGGCCCAGGGCCGTTCAGCAAGAGCTCGGATTGGAGTGGATCGTTGTCTGATTCCTGGTTTTTTCAAGAGAGGACAAGGCACCCATACTGCTACCCTCCGCCCGTGCCCCTTTTGGGGGGCCTCCTGGGAGGCCCTCGTCGCCACCGCTGGATTCGCCTCGAACTTTTGGTTAGAACGCACCCCGGGAGAGGTCCTGGGAGTAGAGGTGTCGGTACCTGTTGGTTTCCCAAGCTTTGCCGATCGGCGTTGGCCCTCGCACCCCCCCCTCCCCCCCCGTGGAGTAGATCTTGGCTGTTTGTTTGCGCCCAGTTCGAGCAGAGGTGGGGCGTCCCCCACAGGACGCACTGCTGCAAGCAGACGCATTGAGCAGAGGTCCAGAGCCAGACCCCCGCCCCCAGACCCCCCCCTTTTCCTCCCAGTGTCGAGTCGCCGAATCAGAAAGCGCCCCCCAGAAGCTGGAGGTCCAGACCTCTGGGGAGGCCGCGTGGTGCAGCACATCGCGACGCCGCAGTCTCTGGGGAGGGGGGCTCTCGGAGGGCCTCACCCGGCCCCCGGGGGCTCCGAGTGCGGGGCAGGTGGCCAGGGAGCCGAGCGTCGTCGGCAGGCCTGGAGCCACGATCGCTTCCTCGGCGCCGGCCGCCTTCGACTGTGCCGACGGCGCGGGGCTCCAGGGGAGGCCTGGGCTCCGGGAGGCGCTTCGCCGCGGCGACTATGCGAATGAATACCCCGACGAGGCTCCCTCTTCAGTGGTCGGAGATCTTCAGCGGCGGGATCTCCAACCAGCAGTGCTGTGCGGCGTCTCGTGTGGTCGCAACCCGCGTCGATCCCATCCTTACGTCCAGTCCTGGCCCTGGCCCTCCACGTCGCTGTGCGGGGGGCCAGGGGTGACCCCAAAGAGCCCGTGGACGGCCCATGACGGCCCCTAGAAGCTTCCGCCAAGTTTTTTCGCAAGGCAGCCGCAGAAGGCTCGACGACGCCCGGAGACTGCGTCGGAGGGCCCCCCACAAGCCCAGAGGGTAGCCCCAAGATGTCCCCCACAGGCCACAGCGATATAAGACAGAGCCTGCGGCAGGAGCAGCAGCAGAGCAAAGGGTTTCAACGAGGAATAGGATTGGAGTGGGGAGACGAAGAGGAGGAGCAGGAGGAGGAAGAGGAGGAGGAGGAGGAGGAGGAGGAGGAGGAGGAGGAGGAGGAGGAGTCGGGAGCGGAGGGATGGAGGTAGGGTAGGCTGGTAGAGGCACGCTCCAGCAGGTACGGACATCCAGTTTTTTCGAGCGCCCCTGCACTGGCCGGTGCCCAGACCATCACACACGTCGAGAGGGGAAGCACACAAAGACAAACCACCGCCGATCCCCGGTGAAGCGCGGGAAACTATGGGAGGTGGAGGGGGACACGAACATGAACACAAAAATGAGGACATCTGGGGCATCCTGGGATTTCTGGCTATCTGCTAGAGTGCCCCAAGGACCCCTCGATATTGCCTGCCAGCGCGGGGGGGGGGGCAGTGCCTCCCACCGCGCCGCTGCCAGGAAGGGAGCGCCCTTCGTCGTCTTCCTGTCCAGCATGATCTTCGCGAGCATCACGGCCCGTCGCTTACAGTGGAAACCCATGCCAAGATACGCCCTGCTTGCCTAGGGGGCCACATGCGAACCCTACCCCAACCCCCCACGATTTCTGAGGGGGAGGGTGGGGTTCACTTCGCTCGGGAGCTCCCAAACGAAGTGAACCCCGCCCTCCCCCTCAGTCATCGTGGGGGGTAGGGGTATAGAGTTCGCATGTGGACCCCTATTGCCTCCAGGGTGCCCTGGGTTTCTTGGGCTTCCATTGCTTTGTTATGGAGGGCGTGACGTTCCCACACCAGAAATCAATGGACGCCCTGGGGTCTTGGGGTTGGGTGTCCTGGGGAAGGTATCTTGTGGTCGAGCGCCTACTGTATGAGTCCCTGCGCATGACGCCTCCTCCTTCCGTGCTTTTCGGCAGAGCAAGTTGGCAGTTTGAGCTAAAGAGGCAAGTGCGCGTTCCGCCCTGCCCCCCCCCAGGCTCAGAACGGGACAGCGGCTCATATGTTCGAAGAGCTGGTCCAGACCTTACGGCTCCATCCTCGAGGGCCGAGGGCAGATCTTAGCACCGAGGCTTCACCAGGAAGCGCACTGAGGGATTGAAGGGGTTGGTTTGACCACCTGGGAGCAAAGCTCAGTGGCAGCGTGGGGGGGGGGATGCGCACAGAGGGGGCGCATCGACCCACAACCGTCCACTCATCGCGTAGAGGATCTCGCCCAGGGATGCACGGATTCGATATCGGGGTTTACCGCCGACATCATGGCGATGTATCCCCGGCTCCAGGTCGATGTTCCCCCCCTGAGCTGTCCCCCCTCACGTTCCTCGTCAAAGTTGTGAGTGCCTTGGGGTGGCATGGAGCTGGAACTGTTGGAAAGAATCTGCCGCCGCGGCGGCCGTGACTACGTGCAGGTGGTGTCTTCACCCTGGCATGGCCAAGAGTCGAGACGGCCAGCGTATCACCATCTTCGTGATCCGAAAGCCGCGTCTCGCCCCCAGAGCCGTCCACAGCGCCTCAGGATGCGGAATGGGTCGAGAGGTTTGGAATTCCACGCCTCGAGAATAGCTAGGGATGATGGGCCTGTTGTCCACCACCATTACCACTACCACCGAGGGGGGGAAGGCGGAGGAGGAGGAGGAGGAGGAGGAGGAGGAGGAGGAGGACCCCCTACCCCTCCAACCTGTGGTGGTGCTCCAAAACAGGTATGTCTGCGCTTCGGAGGTCCATGAGCGGGCCCCTGTCGCGCCCGTCGCGCTTCCTTCTCCGCCCCGTCCTCTGTCCTGGCCCCCAGCTGGACGAGGGCAGACTGCGAGGGGAGGGCGCTGGAACTCGTTGGCGCGGGCCCCGAGGCCCAGAGGGCGGCAGGAATGGGAGGCCCCGAGGGGGCCCCAGAGGGAGGAGGGACGAGACGGGCCCAGAGGGCCAGGAGGAGGAGGAGGAGGAGGCATGAGGCAGGAGGGAGGAGGAGAAAGGGAGGAGGAGGAAGAGGAGGAGGAGGAGGAGGAGGAAGAGAAGGAATAGGAGGAGGGGGCGGAGGAGGAGGAGGAGGAGAGGAGGAGGATGAGGAGGGGGAGGAGGAGGGGGAGGAGAAGGAAGAGGAGAGGAGGAGGAGTGAGGAGGAGGAGGAGGAGGAGGAGGAGGAGAGGAGGAAGGAGGGAAGGAGGAGGGAGGAGGAGCAGGAGGAGGAGGAGGAGGAGGAAGAGGAGGAAGAGGAGGAGGAGGAGGAGGAGGAGGAGGAGGAGGAGGAGAAGTAGGGGAAGGGGGAGGAGGAGAAAGAGGAGGAGGAGGAGGAGGCGGAACAGGACGGAGGAGAACAAGGAGGAAGAGGGGAAGGAGGAGAGGTCTGGGGAGGGACGAAGGGGGCAATATCCCAAGCACATCGAGACAGGCAGGACGTGTGTTGTTGTAGCTGATGTTGTTGTTATTGCCGTTGTTGTTGTTGGTGTTGTTGGTGGTGTTGCTTTTGTTGATGTCGTTGTTGTTGTTGCTGATGTTGTTGTTGTCGTTGTTGTTGTTGCTGGTGTTGTTGGTTGGTTGGTTGGTTGTTGTTGATGCTGGTGTTGTTGTTGTTGTTGTTGTTGTTGTTGTGGTTGTTGTTGTTGGTGTTGTTGTTGTTGGTGTTGTGTTTGTTGTTGTGGTTGTTGTTGTTGCTCTTATTGTTGTAGGTGGTGTTGTTGTTGTTGTTGTTGATGTTGGTGTTATTGTTGTTGCTGTTGTTGTTGTTGTGGCAGCGGCGCGGGTGCCGTCAAAAAGCGGCTCGGGATGTAAGCCCCGTTCTGGGGTTTATTGGTTGCTCGCGAACCGTGCTGCTGCCACTCGGCGGCCTGCTGTGTTCCTGAGTAGCGTGCACTTCCGCGTCCGGAACTGGTGCCTCCTGCTGGCCGTGGGCGTAGCACCGACAAGACGCGGCGATTCCTCTCTGGACTACGGTCGGGCACGTTCGCTCAGCGTATCGCGCCGCTGGTTCTGAGCCGCCACGCTTCGGCGAGGCACGCTGACTTCCTCCTCCTACTCCACCCTCCTCCTCCCCCTCCTCCTCCTCCACCCTCCTCCTCCTCCTCCTCCTCCTCCTCCTCCTCCTCCTCCTCCTCCTCCTCCCCCCCCCCCCCACCTCCCTCCTGCTCCTCATCCTCCTCCTCCTCCTCCTCTCCTCCTCCTCCTCCTTCTCCTCCCCCTCCCCCCCCTCCTCCTCCTCCTCCTTCTCCTCCTTCTCCTCCCTTCTCCTCCTCCTCCTCCTCCTCCTCCTCCTCCTCCTCCTCCTCCTCCTCCTTCTCCTCCTCCCCCTCCCCCTCCTCCTTCTTCCCCTCCTCCTCCTCCTCCTCCTCCTTCTCCCGACCCGCGGAGGGGAGCGTCACGCAGTAAGCTCGCAGGGCACAGCACGTTTCTCCAGGGCCGACGGGGCGACACGCTGAGCAGCAGTTCTTGGCCACCGTGCTTCTCGGCGGACCGTCGCTGTAGCACCAGTAGACGCGACGATCCCTCGCTGTTTCACGCCCGCGTAACGTAAAGAAGAAGGGGGGCGGGATCTGAGCATCTGGTGTCGCATTTTCGCTCGCACTGTGGCTCCCAAGAGGTTTGGACCCCCTCCACGGGACCGGCTTTCCGTCCCGCGTGGCGTGCTGAAGGCCCCCTGGGCCCGAGGAGGGCCCCCGGATGCGAAAAAGGGGCAAACAGTTCCCGCCGTGTTTTTCCACAGCGCGAGGATGCAGGGGAGGCTGCTGCTGCTGCTTAACGTCTGCATGCGCGTCTGCGGTGCCCGAGGTCAGGGGAGGACCGGGGAGGGAGATACAGTCGAGTTCGCACAGTGGGCCGACCCTGCCAAATGTCGGGGGCGGCCACGAGGGGGGTGATGACTCTCTGGGGTGGGGACATCATGGCCAGGGTCTTATCATCTTCCCAGATTTCACGACGCCTCTTCTTATTCCAATGCGTCCCTGGGCCCCCCTCATGGGCCGCGCACATGCCGTGGGCCATGATTTGCGCCCCCCCCCCCCCCCCCTTGGCCGCCCCCGAAGATGACGGGTGCCTTCGTGTCCTGCGTGTTCCCGTCACGGTTCCTCTGCATGCCTCTGGGCAACGTGGCCCTCGGAGGGGTCTCGTGTCTCCTCTCGTGTGTCTTCTCCGGCCAAGCTCGCCTGCACACCCATCAAAATTGTTCAGGAAAGAAGCAGCCCTGAACTCCAGATTCCGCTCGAAGAGCATACATCAATTTTTGAACTGGACCCTGGGCGGTTTCTTGCAGCTTCCTTTTGTTAGTCCTGATGTTCGTATACCTGGACCTGGACTACTCGTTAAGAAAGCGTTTGGAGGGAAGCTCATTTTCTTAGCTCAGAGCTTCCTTAACTCTCAGCTTAGGTCGGGCATGTCCTCCTACAGGCGGATCTCGGACGAAATTAAAAAAAACACTGCCAAACGATAGCCAACACTAGGCAAACCTAGCAGAACCATCGTCCCCAGCCTTTTTTGTAGTCTGTTTGAACATACCTCCCGTAGAGGGACGTGCCCGAAGGTACCTCAGAGCAGGCGTGTCGAGAGTGCAGCGGCCGCCGGCGCCCCACCAAAAAAGGGGGGAAGCGGGCGGCCGCGGACGGGCGCGCCCGCTCGGCGTGCCCCCCCGCTCCCGGGGCTCGCTTCGATTCCTCCGGTTCGTTTCGATTCGACGGCGACGGATTCCGATGCCGATCCGATTTGGCTTTGGATCCCGATTCGGGCTTGGATTTCTTGTTCGAGGCCTATGAGCCTGCCGATCTCCGCCGATTCGATGTTTCCCCACTCGGCTGCCGATGGCCGCCGGTCCGCTTCGTGTCGATCGCCGATCCGACTTGTCGATGCGATTCTGGGCTCCCCTGCCCCCCGCCAGAGAGGCTCTCCGCGTGTGCCTCAACAGCGCCTACGCCGCCACCTGCAGCCACAAGACGCGGCTGCTGCTCGGCGACGGGGCGTCGAAGAAGGTCCGCCTGTCTGCAGAGGAGGAAGATGTACTGCTACCCTCTGCCCGTTTTCCCCTTGTTAGCTGGGAGGCCTGCGTCGCCACCGCTGGATTCGCTGTGAACTCTGGTCACAAAGCACCCCAGGAGAGGTCCGGGGAGTAGCAGTATGGGTACTTTGCTGTTTCCCCAGAGGGGGGGGGACCAAGCGGAGGAGGAAAACGGCACAAGCATAATCTGTTCGACACTCCGCGCGGAGTTCTTGGACTTGCGCTGGGCCCCCCCGGCGGCGCCTCCGGCACCGTCCCTGGCGCGCCCCTGGCGCGCCCCTGGCGCGCCAGGGAGAGGGGTCCAGCGCAGCTCCAAAGATTCCGCGCGGGCCGTCGACACACGTGCTTGTATTGAAATGTTGTTCTCCCTCCGGGAGGCTCCTCCTCCTCCTCCTCCTCCTCACTCCTCACTCCTCCTCCTCCTCCTCCTCCTCCTCCTCCTCCTCCTCCTCCTCCTCCTTTTTCCTCGGAGCCGAGGCAACGCTGTTCCCCCGAACAGCTGAGGCCAACGCCGCCACGGTGGTAGGGCAGCACGCTCCAAGCATCGAGGAAGGCTTTTCGGAGCAGTAGAAACCGTCTTTGCACCCCCCTCGTCCCTTGCAGCAATCCATGTGGTCGCGTTGGGTATTGTTGCCCGTGCTCCTGTTCCGACCCTGCTGCTCACACATTACAGTAGATCTGGTAGGTTCTCCCATTCCGGCTCAAACCAGACACAGCATTGTGTTGCGACAGCACAGTCATGTATTTGATACTGTTGTGGTCATATTGCCCTCCCTGCTCATTTCGCCTCTTCCTCCCTCGTCCCGCTGTGCTACTTCCCCATTCCTCTTCCTCGTCCCCATACTGCTCATATTCGCACTCGTACTTGTTAGTCGCACTCGCCAATGTCCTCTCCCGTCCCTCTCCTGCTCCCCGCCTCCCTCTGCCTTCCCTCCCTTATACCTGTTACGCAGTGCCCCGCGCACTACCCCCTGCCCCTTCTACCCTTGGGTTCTCGTCCTCTTCCTCCATCCTTCCCTCGCTCCCTCCCTCCTCCTCCCCCGCTCCCTTCCCCTCTCCTTCGCCAGCGGGGGGAATGGTGCTGACGAGGCAGACGCCGACGCCGCCGCCGCCGCCGCAGCCGACGACGACGACGACGACGACGACGACGACGACGACGACGACGACGACGACGACGACGACGACGACGATGGGCCCGCGGGGCCAGCTCGGATCGCCTTCCCTCCCCTGCGACAGGCCGTCATGCTGCACCGGGTGCAGGGGCTGCACGCGCGGATGGCAGAGGAAGCTCCGCCCCCCCAAACCCCCAAGTGCCCTCGTCGTCGTCGTCGTTGTCGTCGTCGTCGTCGCCGTCGATGTCCGACAATGACGCCGACGACGCCTGCGCGTCCGTTGTCGAGGGCTTGCTCCTTAGAGGAACACAAGTCGGCACAATACATAAACATTCGGAGTTCCGCCTGGATTTCTTTAACTAACGCTGCGTCCCAGGTTCCGAGATCCAAGAAATCTTTCTGGTGAACTGTGACAATTTCTGTTCGCGGCGTTTTGTGTTTCTTTATTGTCCACTTGCCTGCGGCAAGTCCCGCCACCGTGCCAGCCCAGCATTCTGTATGGCGACTGCTCGAGGGGGCACCGGAGGCCTTCACTTGTGACACTCGTGGGGAGCGCCGTGATGCGGATTCTGAGAAGTATGAGGATGATAGGGGTGATGGCGACGACGATTTTGATGATGATGATGATGATGATGATGATGATGGTGATGATGTTGGTGTTGATGCTGTAGATGATGATGCTGGTGATGGTGAGTATGGTGATGCTGATGTTGATGGTGTTGGTGATGATGGTGATGATGATGATAAGTATGTTGTTGATAATGATGAGTATGGTGATGATTGTTGTGATGGTGATGATGATGATGACAGTGATGATGATGACGAGCACGACGATGCTGATCATGTCGATGGCGTCGATTATGTTGGTGATGGTGATGGTGATGGTGATGGTGCGGATGAGGAGGAGGAGGAGGATGAGGATGAGGATGATGCTGTTGCTGCTGCTGATGCTGATGATGATGATGATGATGATGAAGAAGATGATGATGATGAGTATGATGATGTCGAAACTCATTAGGGCCCTCTTGGGTGTGTCCTGGCCTCCTGTGAGGCAGTCTTGGGCGGTCCATCGGGGCCCTCTTGGTGTTGGGCCGTCGTTGGCCCCTCTTGGCCGTCGTAAGGCCGTCTTGGCGCCGTCTGGGACCGTCGAGGGGCACCCAGACGCCGTCCATGGGTCCCACGGGAGGCCCTCTTGGGCCGTCCAGGGGCCGTTTTTGATGTCTCTTGGGCCTTCCTCCTCCTCCTCCTCCTCCTCCTCATCCTCCTCCTCCTCCTCCTCCTATCGTGGAGTCCTCCTGGGCCGTCTTGACCTGACGGCAACGCGAGAATCCCAGGATGCGAGCGTCATGCACACATCCATATGGGAAGTCTACATGGGAAATCAATCCTTTTGGAGTTGTCGGAACCTACTGGAGGTCGCCGTGTGGCCATTGTGGGTCCTCTTGGCGGCATCGTTCTTGCATCACTATTTGGCCGCTTTCGGGCCATCTTGGGCCGTCTTGGAAGCATCTTGGGCCATCTGGGTGTCCTTGGTTGCCTGCACGGACAGTCTTGAAAGCTCGGGACGCAGATCCATCGCTTTAACGAGGGTCGTGGCTTGGGAGGCCCTGGAACGCTTGGGAGCAGCGCCTGGGAATGCAGGAAGTACACGATCTTCGAGCGGGTGGGCATGGGATGAGGGTTCAGGAGCTAGCTGCCATGCGGGAAGTGCACCATCCTCGAGCGGGCACGCGTAGAAGGGGGGTTCAGGTATTAGTTGCCATGCGGGAAGTGCACAATCCTTGGGCGGGCGCGCATGGAATGACGTTCAGGCATTATAGCTGCCATGCGGGAAGTGCACCATCCTCGAGCGGGCACGCGTGGAATTACGGAATAAGCAGCAGCTGCGATGTTGGGAGGGCACCATCTTCGAGCGGGCACGGGGGAAGTGGCTTCTGAAGAGAGGGCCGATGCATGCAGCAGTCCGCGAGCAGAGAGGGGGGACGGCCCCGTGTGGCACAGAAAAGGCATACCAGGCAGCCTTGGCAGATTTCCACGGCTCAGCGTGCCAGGGGGCGCGGTGGCGGATGACGGGAAGCGCCTTCTCGGAACGCTCCACATCGGCGACGGCGTCGTGGACGCTCCACATAGGTATGCAGCTCGATGCCCAGTGGATGCTGAAAACAGCGACGCTCCATGACGATCACAGTCTTGACGTGCTCGAGCAGTTAGAGATGTACGCGCTGCTACTGGACTGGCAGATGCAAATTCCAAAACACGGTGGCAGATTCGTGCAGGAAGAGTGAGGGTGACAAGTTTATGAGGCCCGCGTCAACGACCGAGCTGGTGGAATAAGAGAGGCGGTGAGCACAAGAAGCGACAGCCATGAGGGCAGCGCGGACCTGTCCTTTGCAATGGCGCGAGAGTTTCTCATGCATGGCCAAGCTCCTCTCAGGTCGGGCATGTCCCTCCACAGGAGGAATATTCAAGAGCAGCAACACAGACTAGGGTGACGGTGTGTCTTGCCATGTTGGTTGTATTTGAGCACCACATCTTTATAATTGATGGTTATTGAAACACCCATCGTTGCCGAAGAGCTCTACGAGGTATTATCAAAAGACGTGGAGGAACCGACTTCGTAGAACTCCCCAAAAAATACATCCCGCGAGTTGTCAAGCTGATATTCGAGGAAGCTTTCTCCTCGTACTCTGAGCACTGATTCGCGTGTCAAGAGCTATACGAGGGTCCCGGCGGTAACCTTTTTGACGGTTCCCCTCTGGCTCCCAGTACCCCGTAGAGCTCTTCGGCGCCGATGAGCTAGAGGAATTTTGGCGCGGATTGCTACGCGCCCGCGTACGGTTGCTGCTTCGATCCCGTGTGTATCCTATGCCGCTGCCGATCTTGCGGCTCTCGTCCTCGCCCCCCTCGCCCCGCCTCCGAGAGGCGGCGCGCAGAGCACTGCAACCCCCGCGCACCGCGCGGCGTGGGCTCGAGAGGTGCCATTCTCCAGAGCAGCGCCGCGAGGGCGCGGAGTGCAATTGCGCGTCGCGCATCTCCTCCTCCTCCTCCTCCTCCTCCTCCTCCTCCTCCTCCTCCTCCTCCTCCTCGCCCAGCCCCCACCCTTCCCCCCCCTCAGGGCCTCGAACCCTTCTCCCCTGGAACTGCAGCTGCGAGCCCGGCTTCTGCCGGTCCTGCCTGCAGAATGAGAGAACGGATGCACCACCAGCGCGCCCGGTCCGAGGCGCTCGGATGTGGTGCACAGCCCCTCCTGGCCTCGCCCAGGAGGGCGCGCAGTCGAGCTGCGCCCTTGCTTGTGCCCCGCGTTCCTTCTCCTCCTCCTCCTCCTCCTCCTCCTTCCTCCTCCTCCTTCCTCTCCTCTCTTCCTCCTCCTCCCTCCTCCTCCTCCTCCTCCTATTCCTTCTCCTCCTCCTCCCTCTCTTCTTCTCCTCCTCCTCCTTCTCCTCCTCCTCCTCCTCCTCCTCCTCGCCCCCATGTCCTCTGCGTTCCCTGGGAGCAGCACGGCCCTCGGGACGGCCTCGCGCACTCTCGCGCGCCCTCGCTCCCGGCAGGCCCTCGACCGCGCGCTCCGCGCTCGGGCCCAGGTGGCCTTGGCCAGGCACGGTGGCTTGGCCGCATCTCCTGAGGGGTCAGATTTTCGGAGGAGGAAACGCAGAGATCCAGTGCATTGAAAAAATCAAGACGGAGATTTGTTTCAAATTTCGGCCCCCAGGGGCCCTCGCTGGGCCTCGGGGCCGTCAAAAAACGGCTCAGGATAAAAAACTGGTCCTGGGGAATGGGTCAAGACTTCCAGGGACCGCGCATTGAACAAATCACGACATCGGATCTCTGGAAGGCCCCCATATCTCCACAATTCGCCGTTTGTTCCCCCTCTTTGGGCCTCCTGGGAGGCCCTCGTCGCCACCTCTGGACTCGCCTCGAGATTCTGGTCCGAACGCACCCCAGGAGAGGTCCAGGGAGTAGCGGTGTCCGTGCCTTTTGGTGCCCCCGGCTTTGGCATCGGCGCTGGCACCTCCGTGGCCAAAGGCCTGCCAGTCTGGCCGCATTCCCTTCTCTTCCCGCCGAGTCCCGCTTTCAATCCTGTGCTCGATCCCGCTCAAGTCCGCTTGATCCCGCGAAATCTGGCTCAGTGCCCCCCCACGCTTCTGATTGCAGCCCGCCGTCGTTTTGACGAAAACTTCCCAGGAGTTCCCTCCTAGTGCTTGTGGTGCACGAGGTGCCCACAGCCTCTTCTTGGGCCAGTCGGTCCGATCTCCGGCCTCGCGGCCTGGCCAGGGGAGTCTGCGCCTGTCGGTCTGCGAATTGTCGGCCTTGCCAGTCCGGGCCAGTCAGGCCCCGCGTGCATGCCAAGGGGGCCACGAGGGGCGCTCTTTTCAGAGCGTTACCGGGGCGGGGCTGCGGCAGTCCCAGACCCTCTCGTGTTATGAGAAAATCGCGACGGGAGGCTTCTCGCTATTTGCGGCCTCCGGGGGCCCTCACCTGGCCTGGGGCTTGCCAAAGAAGGATTTTGGATGGAAAACGGGTCCCAGGGAAGGGATCCAGACTTCAGTCGGGCTGTCCATCTACAGGAGGAATATTCCAGAATGGCCAAAAATAGTCGGAGGACGATTTTTCGAGCACTGTTTGACCATCGCTGATGATTTTTGTTGGGGGTATGTTCTATCTTTCGTACAAATTCCCCCCTGTATGGGGGACACGCCCGACCCAAGTCCAGACCTCTGGGGGCCGGCGCTGTGATAAACAAACCGGGCCTGCCGGGCTGGGCCGGTCGGCTTCGGGGCACGGCCTTGGATCTCGCGCAGAGGCTCGGCGAGCCCGCCGTGGGCACGGGCTGCCGCCGCTGGCGCCCCCCTCGACGCCTCCCGCGCCCGCTCCTACGGCTGTGGACGACGAGCGAGGGCGAGGAGGCATGTTAACAAACAGTTCCCAGACTTTGTGGGCCCCGGAAACGGCAGGGCCGTTTTTTCACCGTTTCCAAAAACAATGTCCCTTGAAAATGGAAACGGCAAAAAAACGGCGACCAGAAACGGCAAAAAAACGGCTCCAGGATCGGAACTGGAGCCGGAACCGGTCAAAACACGGCGACGGAACCGGTAAAAAAACGGCGTCGGAACCGGCAAACAAACAGCAAAACGGAACCTGTAAAAAAACGGCCCTGTAGTTTCCAGGGCCCACTAAGTTCCCAGATGCCTAAAACTCGGGGGTGGACAGACCTCCTGCCCCGACACGTCGGTTAGTGAAGGGTCCGCTTTCGGTTCTCGAGGGGGCGCCGCGGCCGTCATTTCCAGGCTTGCGCCCGCCAGGTTTGGGCCCGAGGTCGTTTTCACTGAACCACGTTATACTAAAGGAGGTTCTGTCCATCCCCGAAAAAACATGTTTCAAACATGTCTGTAACATATAACAGAAACATGTGTTCGGCATTGCCAGAACCTTTATCCGACATCTTGAACGTCATTTTAGTTCATTGATCGGATTGTCAGGGTGTCCATTGCCATGGCATCCGCAACTCTACGGTATGCTTCGCAGGCCCGCCGCTCGGAGCGGCCGGACGACATCCTGCAGACCACCCGCGACACGCACCAGGACGCCAGCGGAGGAGGAGGTGCCCATACGGGTAATTACCCTTCTCTCTTGTTCGCCTTGTTCGGGCCTCCTGGGAGGTCCTCGTCGCCGCTGCTGGGATGCACCTCGAGGAGTTCTGGTCAGAGCGCAGCCCGGGAGAGTATCTGGGGGGTACTAGCGGCATGGGTAAACTCAAAGGGTTTTTGAAGCTAACTAGCCCCACCCTCAGCTGTCAGCTTGCAGTTCACGTCGTCGCTCCCCTCCTCGTCTTTCCCCTCATCATCGTCGTCGTCCTCCTCCTCATCATCCTCATCCTCCTCATCATCGGCAGCATCAGCATCGCCGCCATCACCGCCACCATCATCATCGTAAGCATCAGCAACACCATCATCATCATCAGCATCATCGTCGTCATTCTCGTACTTATCGTCATCACCATCTCCATCTTCATCATCATCATCATCGTATCATCATCATCATCATCATCATCATCATCATCATCATCATCATCATCATCATCATCATCATCATCATCATCATTATCATTATCATCATCATCATCATCATCACCGCCATCACAAGCATAACCATCATTACCATCATGACTATCATCATCAACATCATCACCATTGTCACCATCATCACCATCACAATCACTATCAGGGATCCTCATCCCTCCCGATCATCTGCCCTGGTCGCGGCGGGGGATTACAAGTTTAGTTGGGTGTCCCAATCCGTCCATAAGCCCGCACAGATAACAACTACTTCCCATGTTTGGAGCTGTTGGTTGTTAAGACCCTTTGCGTTTACTTGTTTGTTCCCCAGGACGTGGCCCATCCCGTTCCGATGTGAAACCTTCCGAAGACGCCTGCGGCGAACCACCGCCTCCCCCTGCCTCTGGGCTACGGCTGCGGCTAAGTGGCCTGACGTTTGGGCAACGTTTGGCCACGCTGTTGGGCCATGCCTTCCCCAGCTGTTGTGGAAGCCCTTCGGGGAACACGTGAAGGAGGAAGAGGTAAATGGGGAGATGAAGGAACAAGGAGGATGAGGAGAAGGATGAGGAGACATCTTGGCAGTTTCTTTGGTCATTCTTGGGGCCGCCTGGGAGCTTCCTGGAGGCCTCTTGGAGGCCTCTGGAGGCCTCCGTGGGCCTCTTGGGGACCTTCCGAGGCCTCTCGGGGGCATCTTTGGCCGTCCTACGGCGTTGCTGGCCCCTCTGACGCCGTCGGAAGCCGTCTTGGGAGCCTCTCTGGCCCGTCTTGGGGCGGTTGAGGGCGGTCTTGAATGCCATCCTGGGCGTGTTGGAAGCTTCTTGTGCCGTTTTCGGGCCCTTTTGGGGGGCCGTCTTGGGGGCCTCTTGGGCCGACCTGGGGCCATCTTGATCTTGGAGGCCTCTTGGGCGATCTTGGGGCAATCTTGAGGGCCTCGTGGGCTGTGTTCGGCCGTCGGAAGGCCAGTTTAAGGTCAATGCCCACATCCTTCAACAACCTGAGGAAAACCAATGATTTTGGCCTCTTCGGACCGTCGTGGCAGACCTCTTGGAGGCATCTTGGACCGTCTTGGGGGCCCATTGGGCGCTTCTTGGGCCGTCTTGGGCCCCTTTGGGCCATCTTGGCGGGATTGGAGGCATCTCGGGACCCTCTTGGAGGCCATCTTGGGCCATCGTGGCCGTTTTGCAGGCCATCAAGGCCGTCTTGGAGGGATCTTTAGGGGGAGTCTACTGACACTTCGGGGGACCAGCGGTTTGGGCCGCGACCCCACTAGGAGTTCTAAGCAAAGACCACCAGACGTCCAACACGCCAGACACGCCTTTGAGAAGTCAGCAGTGGGCGGCACATCTAGTGGCCTTCGGCCCACCCCGCCAACGCGACTTGGTTGGAGGCCGGAGGCCCCTTGGTCAGTCTTTGGGCCCCTTGGGCCCGAGGAGCGCATGCGGGAGGACGCCCCAGAGGACGCCCCGGGCGCGCCAGGAACCCCATGGGGAGGTTGGAGAATGTGGTGTCTGGGCCGTGAGGACGATCGTCAGGATTGAGGACCGAGGCTCAGGGAATTGGGCAAGGGTCGCGAGGGCACTCCAGCTCGTGCCTCGCAGGCACGGTGGCGGATCTCAGGGGATGGAGACCCAGACGTGCTCGCGGCGAGAAGATATCCCGACCGACGATTTCTGGCAGCTTTTTCGGCCTTCGGGGGGCCCTCCCTGGGCCCTGGGACCTGCAAGCAACAGTTCGGGAGGACCTGCTGGCTCTAAGGAGAGGATTCCGCCTCCTGGGGACCGCATGTGAAGCATCTGGGCATCGCATGTCTGGGAAGATAGCGATACCCCTTATCGGTCCGGAGAGCCCTGGTCGCCACGGCTGATCCTCAGAGGGGGGAAGGATCTCGACGCCGCGGGTCGTCCTTGAGAGCCCTCGTTGCCACGGCTGGACCCTCCCTGGAGCTCTAGTCAGAACGCACCCTGGGGGGGGGGGGTCCGGGGAGTCAGATATCGGTAATGGTTTCTTCCCCTTCGATATCGCTTCCGGCTCGATCCTTGGCATCGCTCGGACGTGTGCATTTTTCTCTCGGCGAGGACCATCGAGGAGCATCCTTGATCATTTGGCGAGAAAACCACGCACGATACCGAAAAAAACACAGGGAATGGACGTCCGAGCGATGGCCAGGATCCCATGCGACCCCAGCATTCCGTCGGCCCCGCACGCCCAGTGCTTGCACGGCGCTGCGGTGCACCTTGGCACGGCCGATCCGATTCGGTCTGGACTGCGTGCCGATGCGGCCCGATCCGGCGCACACTCCGACTCGATCTGGATTCCCGACTCGATGTTGTTTTGCCCGACCATGATGCCATCCAGTCATTGGGGGAACGCTAGGCATCGATCGAGGGTCGGGGATCGAGGCGCGCGAGCGGTTTTCTAAGTGTTTGGGCCCCTCTGGGAGGCGCTTCAGTGCCATTGCCGGATTTTGCGTCCGAGTTTTCAGTCGCTGGGCACCCCCAGGGCCTGAAGGAAAGGTCTGGCCAGGGCCGGTGCGCAGTCAGGTCTGATCAGCAGGCCGACCCTGCAGAGTCAAGGGTCCACTCGTGTCCTGTCTCTGTCCTGGTTCGTGTCCTGTCCAGGTGTGTAGCACGTGCTCTGATTTTGGAAGCGACTTTTCCGTCCTGCCCGGGGGTCTCAGCCTTCCGTCCCGACCAGAAGGGTGCGTTCGGCGTCCTCGTGGGCCACGTGTCGGTACAGTAGGGGTCTTGAAGAAGGAACCCTTTTCGTTGGGGAGGGGCTCCGTGTTCCTTAATTGTTGCGCAGCTTGTCTTGGGTTTTCCTTAGGTTTTCGATGTGAACTCGAAGTTTAACTTATGGAAAAAAAGGGCCTCGTTCCTTATTTAGGGTTCCTTAGGTCAAGGCCCCGACTGTAGAAGTATGGTCGGGGGTGCACTCTCAGAGCTGAAGGGGCGGCGGCACTGGTGGCACCCAAAGGGTCCCAGACGGCCACCTGGGCTCCAGAACTGCCAAGGAGCTCGGAGCACCTTGGTCCAAGGACAGTTACCCCATCGATTCGCTCATTGTGCCAGCCTCTACGGTATGTAGTGTTTAGGGTCCTTCTGCCAGACTGGGTCGTTGACAAGAGGTCCTGTTGGGAGGCTTGTTAGGGTCTCTGGGGGGGGGGGCTCGTGGCGGCGATTTGAAACCTCAGGCACCACCGCTGGGCCGCTCTCGTCGCGCGGGTGGCGCTGACCGCCTCGTCCGCAAAATAAGAAACATTTGAGCACTCACAAAAATCGCGTATCCGTTTGTCCACTCGCAAGGCTTGTGGCGAGACTTCTATTTCAATTTCTGCCCTCCGCCCTCCCTCCTCCTTCCCGGGAGCAGAAGCAGGAGCAGGACGTGAGAGAGGATGGGCACTGGTGGGCAAATGCAAACCACCCTTGTCCGCCCAGGATTCTAAACTCAAGCCTGGCTTGCAATCTTGTTGGAATTCTGGGGGTAGGAAAGGGGTGTGGTGTAAAGGGGTGTGGTGCCGATGCTGGATCTGGCGAGGTTATCTATCGTAGATAGCATCGCCATTTCCACGACTGGCACCACACCCCTTTATGCCACACCCTTTTCCGACCTCCAGAGAAATCTGTCACACGAAATGGCAGGCTCCCCAGTCGCCCTGAATTACCTTCCGTGAGATGTGGATTTGCGCCTTCAGATGGGATCTTAGCAGAATGGGTGGACGAAGTCACTTGTCGTAGCCCTGCTACTGTATGTTCTGAATTTTGCTTGTGCGGTCAGGACCTCAGCGTCATCGCAATCTGCCGCGCTTTCACCAGTCCATTTGAATCATCACTCGTGTGCTCACTGGAAAATGGTGCTTGCAGACAGCAACACCCGGCGAAGCTCTATGTGCAGCGTGTCAACCATTTGTCACCTGTAGATGTTGTCCATCCCATCAGGTTGCCTGCTACCTCTCCTTTCATAGATCCCTGAGTCGTGGCAGTTACTGACCCTCACCACGCCGCAAGGAGTACCTGATTCAGCACAAGCTCAACATGAAGAAGCTCTCTGCACTGGCGACAGCTGCAAGCGCTCGCCAAATGCCTTTGCGAGTTTCCAGTGGTCTCTCACTTCAACTCGCGACCCAGTCGGAAAGTTCCTGGGACCGGACTGCATTCACATTCCGCGCGGCGCCCTTGGTTATACAAGTGAGCACGCAACAGGAAGACGACGATGGAGAGTCAGTGCTAGTGGCCACGGTGCCCCCCTTCCCCCGAACACGCACAATGATGACGCCCGCGGGTACGGTTGCCAGATTTCTTCGAACGAGTACATATTCGTGGGAGCGAATTCGTGTAGGCAGGTTTGGGCCCAAGGGGTTCTACGCTCCACCTAATAAATCCACTGTCGGGCAGCGCATCTCTCTTTTTCCCAGCACCGTAGTATCTGTTTACATCTATAGATAGAGAGAGAGAGCGCGAGAGAAAAGGTCATCCCTACTTCTATCTGTATAGTTGTATATACATATAGATACAGAGAGAGAGAGAGAGTATGAGAAAGACTTCGGGGAAGCGATCGAGACTTGGAAAGATCCTGGCTCGCCAGACGGGAGGCGAGCCTGGAGGCGACGAGCGCGCGCCACGAACGATATCATCACCCTCCTTTGCGGGGCCCACTCGGGACTCTTGTCGCACCACCTGCTGGTGGCCCTCGGCGCGGCCGCCCTCCTGCTCGGGGCCCCCCCTGCGCAGCGGCGTGACGGCAGCAGGGGCGGCGCCCTGGCCCGGCCTCGCTCGAAGTGCCCCTGGCCCAAGGTGCCTTCAGGGCTTTCAGGAGAGCCCCCACGGCCTCTGGAGCACCCCTTCAAGAGGCCCGGGGTGCCCAGGGGCTCCAGAATTGAGCAGACAGCTGGAGGCACCTCCTCCAACACCCCCCGGACTGGAGGTGCCCCACAGGGAACACCCAGTGCCGAAATGGGCGGGGGGACGCCCTGCGAAGTTGTCCAGGGGAGCCATCGTTGGAGCTGTTTCCGGTGCGCGAGCCGCGCGAGGGGCGGTTCGAAACAGGCAGGATCATGCTGTGCGAACTTTGTCTCTGGAGCTGTGGTGGTCCCTGTGATGTGCGATCCTCGTGAGGGGTGTGCCCCCCCCCCCCGCTAGGGGGCGCACCGTGGGGCGCGGTCCGCGGGGCTTGGCCTCACGGGGCGCAGTGTGGGGCGCATGGAGGGGGCGCGAGGGCTCGAGGGTGCGGGACGGCGAAGACCCTGGCGCTGCAATTTGTCTCACCACGGGCGTTGTCGCTCCATTTCGGGCCCCAGGACCCTCACGGATCGGTCCCGCGTGGAAAACGAGGCAGAAGAGGGGGTCCGGGCCGGCGGTCTGGGGTTCTGCACCCCCTTGCGACGCCAGGCAACGTTGTGTAGCGCCAGGAAGATCTGGCGACGCCAGGCGTTGGGCCTGGCGATATGCCTGGGCAGCTGGCGTTGCGCTTTGTTGCAACGTTGCAATTGTTTGGCAACGCCGGATCTCAGGGGACGGCGGAGAGGGCGCAACGCGCCGCGCTTCGCGGAGGGCGCGAGAGCGCGGGCGTCTCCTTTCGTGCCGCGAGGGCGCGGAGCTGGGCCAGAGGATGAACTCGTGCTTCCCTTTTCTAGGCCTCCCAGATGGGGTCCGAGTAGGCGGGGTCGGAGGATAGCGCCGCATCGCCGATGCATCGGCGATGCGGCTCGATGTGGGGCGCGATGTGCACCGCCGACGTCGCCGGTGCATCGCCGATGCATCCCCGATGCATCGTTGATGCATCGCCGATGCATCGCTGATGCACCGGCGATGCGGCGCGATCCTCCGACCCCATCTTCTCCGACCCCATCTAGGAAGCCTCTACCTTTGCCGGCCCCCCGCGGTGCGGCGGGGCCCTGCCCCGGCTCAGGATCCAGCCTGCGGTGGTCGATTTTTTCCGATTCGGGAGCTGTGCCGGGGACGCACCCCTAAGGCTGCGCAACAAGCGCTGTATAGGGTGGGCACTTCCGCCTCGGGAGAGGAGCGTGGATCTTTCCACAGGACTGTGGCGGAAACAGCGATGGCGGAGATCGTCGTGGGAGGAGCTCCAAAGGTAGCCCCATAGCGGGACATCGCCCACCCCGGGGCGGATCCGGAGGCAGGGTGGAGCCTCCGGAGCCAGTGGCGCCCCAGCCGGCGGCCTCGCTACGTCGACCGGGCAGGGTGCCGATGGCACCGGGCGCGGCCGAGCGGCCCGGGAAGGGGAAGGGGAGGTCGCTGGGGGGGGGGGGCACGGGGGCCTGAGGAAAGCGTGCCCCGAGGTTTCGAACCGTCTTCGGGTTCTCGGGGCCCTCCACCTCCTGCTCCTCCTCCCCCTCCCTCTCTCTCGTCCTCCTCCTCCTCCTCCTGCTCCTCCTTCTCCTCCTCCTCCTCCTCCCTCCTCCCTCCTCCTCCTCCTCCTCCTCCTCCTCTCCTCCTCCTCCTCCTATCTCCTCCTCCTCCTCCTCCCCCCTCTTCCCCCTCCTCCTCCTCCTCCTCCTCCTCCTCCTCCTCCTCCTCCTCCTCCTCCTCCTCCTCCTCCTCCTCCTGCTCCTCAAACCTCCTCCATGACTGTCACAAAACGGCTCAGACCCAGTCTTGGGGAAAGACCCCCCAATGGTGAAGCTCCCGTGTCACTCAGGACCCGTGTCCCCCATGCTAGGGAAGGGACGCCGCTGGCAAAGACTTTCCCGGATCCAGCGGGGGAGCATATGACTCAGAAAAATATCTTCACTCCACGGCTGCAGCATCCTCGGGCATGCCATCGTCCCTGGCTTATCGAAGTTCTCCTTCGAGGGGCCCTGAAGCGGCCGGGGCGGCAAGGCGTGATCTTTCTGCTGCTTGCGCTCAAGGCTCAAATTGTGGGCGGGACGGCCGCCGCAAAGCGGAGAGCCGGGCTCGGTCCTGTCGCTGCAATGGGTGCAAGGGCGTCGACCTCAGTCCCAGCGACGCCTGCCTCTGAGTGGGCTCCGTACGTGGCAGCGTCTTGCATAGCTGATTCCATTGATGACGAGGCGGCGATCCATTTCGTAGCCGATGTTCTTCAGTGCACGCCTTTGCCATCACCGTGGGTGATCGGTACAGGTGATAAGGGCCAGCGCCTTTTCATCAATGCCCGCACTGGGATGTCCACATGGGAGCACCCGCTGCTGGATGTTTTGAAGTTGGTGGCAGATCTTTACCAATACTGCGCTCCGCTCTCGCAAGAACACCGTGATGAAGTGCTCAGCGGCTTCCACCAGATTTGTGACGTCGAAGCAAAGAATGAGTACTGCAAATGGCGCACCTTGCAGGCGGAGGGTGGGGACGAGTATTATGTCAACGTGGTGACGCACGAGGCTACATGGGAGAATCCGGCGAAGGCTTTCTTGCCGGGGTACTACATGCGAAGCGTGGCCATCGCGCGGTTGCGCAACCCCGGATACTTGCAAGGGCTTCGCAGTAGGGCGTGCCCCAGCTGCACCCTCGAGCGCCACGTAGACGATTCCGAGTCCGAGCCCACAGAGTGGAGACTGGACATGGACCTCTCCAGCACGATGCGGACCATCTGCGAAGTGTAACAGAGACCTTGTCGAACTTGATCTTTTGTCAACTTCGTCTGCAGGGGAGTGGTTGCAGGAGATCTTATCCAAATGCCTGCGGTTAGCTCTGGCAGGGTGCCGGCGCAGCACTGTATGATCTTTGGGGGACGGCCCAGGAGGCCGTAGCATGTCGCATCTCTTGTCCGTGCGGTCGGGAATGTTGGCTTAGCGTGTCGTTTCGCGTTCTGGCCAACCGCGCTTCGGCGCGACACGCTATCAACGTCCCCGCTCCCAAGCGTCAACGTCCCCAGCCTCTCCCCGCCTCCCACCCAGCAGAACTGATCGACATGTTATTCTCTCGCGAGGCATAACGTGTCGGTGGGGCCGCCTCCGCGACATGCTGAGCAGCAGTTCCCGACCGTAGGCTCGGGAAGGCCTTATCTTCCACGAGCGCCACATCGCCGTCACACGTGATGGCGTTCCCCCTCAGGGTCCAGCGCCCCGTTCCCATCCCGTCGTAGCATGAAGCAGCAGAGACTTCCGCCTGTGGGTGGAAGGTCGTAGTAGGTCCCCCTGTAGGGGGACACGCGCGACTTTAGCCCTCGCGGGGCGGTCTGGGGCGGAGGCGCGCCGGAGGCGGCCTCGGGTCCGTCGCGAGCTGCCGCGCCGAGGGGCACGCGTGGCCTCCTGGAAGACCGCGTTTTGGGGGCAGGTGTGGGGCCTCATAGTGGCATCTTATCAGAGCCCCGAATCATCAGGGGTAACTCGGGTCAGGGCTAACTCGGGTTTGTTTTTCGGGAATCCGAACCAGAGTTGCCCCGGGCCCGAGTTACCCCGGATAACTCGGGCGTCCAGAGCCCCAAATCATCAGGGATAATTCGGGTCAGGACTAATTCGGGTTCGATTTTCGGGAATCCAAACCCGAGTTGCCCCGGGCCCGAGTTACCCCGGATACCTCGGACGCCCAATCTTAATACGAGAGAAGCGGCGGAAGCCCAACATCAGTGACACGCCTACTAGGTGTACGAGTGCGCCCAGGCGTTTGCCCCAGCAGAGCGCTGCACGCTCTGTGGGAGCGCGAAGACCCTCAAAGGACCCGAAGCAAGGCCAACGCTGCTCCACGGCCCCGGTGCCTCCTCCCTCCTAGGGTCTCAAGGCGGCCCGCCAGTGCAGTCAAGGCGAACTCACAAGGAGCCCGTGATCCCACCGTGATCTCGACGTGACTTCGAGGTGACCACAGAGAAGCCCCAAGATTGACCAAGCACGAGCAACGGGCGTCCCCAGGATGATCCAATGATCATGCCATGGCTCCCAGTGGGCCCCATGGTGGCCGAAGCAACTCCAGAACACAACTCCTTGATCCAAACATTTTCCGAACATGACCTCAACATGATCACAATACGATTCCAAGGTGCATCCAAATGGCGGGATGTGATTCCCCCCGGATCTTCGGGCACCCTATTTCCCCATACCCTAAGATGGTTTTTTGTTATTACTTGGACGCCTCCTACTCCTTCCTCCTCTTCTTCTCCTCCTCATACTCGGACTTATTCATACTCGGACTTACTCTTTCTGAGACACTCATGCCCAGACTTACTCATACTCAGACTCGTTCCCAGACGTACTCATACACAGCTTTACCCCTACTCAGACCTACTTCTACTCAGACCTTCTCATTGTCTGACTTACTCAACACACAGCAGATTGTGAGGATGTCTCAGGCGTGGCGATGGTTTCAGCACCTCCACTGGGAGCCGCAAGGGGGGTTCCACGGTCCCGTTCGCAGCAATTGTGTGGGGATGTTTCAGGCGGTGTGTCTGTTTTCTGTTTCAACATCCTTGGCTATCAGAGCAGATTGTGAGGATGTCTCAGGCGGGGCGCTGGTTTCAGCAACCCCAAGGGGAGCCGCCCAGGGTGTTCTCACGGTCCCTTTCGCGGCCGTTTTGTTGGGATGTCTCAGGCGGGTGTGTCTGTTTTCTGTCTCAACACCTTTGGCTATCAGAGCAGATTGTGAGGATGTCTCAGGCGGGGCGATGGTTTCAGCACCCCCAAGGGGAGCCGCCAGGGTTGTTTTCATAGTCTCGCTCGCAGCAATGATGTGGGGATGTCTCAGGCGGGTGTGTCTGTTTTCTGTTTCAACATCCTTGGCTATCAGAGCAGATTGTGAGGATGTCAGGCGGGGCGCTGGTTTCAGCACCCCCAAGGGGAGCCGCCAGGGGTATGACACAGTCCCGTTCGCAGCAATTTTGTTGGGATGCGTCAGGCGGTTTGCTTGTGTTCTGTCTCAACATTCTTAGCTATCAGAGCAGATTGCGAGGATGTCTCAGGCGGGGCGTTGGTTTCAGCACCCCCAAGGGGAGCCGCCAAGGGGCATGACACGGTCCCGTTTGCGGCCGTTTTGTTGGGATGTCTCAGGCGGGTTTGTTTGTGTTCTGTCTCAACATCCTTCGCTTGGGGAGCAAGCAGATTGTGAGGGTGTCTCAGGCGGGGCGCTGGTTTCAGCACCCCCAAGGGGGGCCGCCAAGGGGTATGACACGGTCCCGTTCGCGGCCGATTAGCGGGGATGTCTCAAGCGGTTTGTTTGTGTTCTGTCTCAACATTCTTCGCTTGGGGGGCAGATTGTGAGGATGTCTCAGGCGGGGCGCTGGTTTCAGCTACCTAAGGGGAGCCGCCAAGGGTGGTTTCATGTCTCCGTTCGTCGCCATTCTGTGGGGATGTCTCTAGCGGTTTACTTGTTTTCTGTTTTTTTTCGTTGTGTCCCGAGTGGTTCTCCCCGCTGGTATGTTCACCATCGCACAACTTTACATTATGAGATGCACTATGGCTCATATGGCTAGACGCTCATTCCCCTAGATACAATAACACCTCTTAAAAAAGGATGCACATATGGGGAGCTCCACCCAGTGAGTAATTTTCTCTGTGGTTGCATTGCTGCTCCGACCTTACGAATACATCAGTCGAGCGGGATTCCGCCCAGACCACCCAAGGAGGGTCTATTGTTAGTGGTGGGTGGTCGTTTCGTTCGTGTCGCGCGTGCGGGCGAGGCGAAGCTGCGTGGGCGCGCGAGAGAAATGAACCCGCCGCTGCTGTGGCGAAGCCAAGACAAATGTTGCTCCTCCACCTTCCGTCCGTCCGGCGGTGTCCCGTGGTGTCCCATGGTGTCCCGTTGAGTGAGATCGATAGTGAGATCGATAGTGAGATCGATGTGGTGCCCCGTGATGTCTCGTGGTGTCACGTGGTGTTCCAAAAAGTGAAATCGATAGTGAGATCGACAGGTGTCCCGTTGTGTACCGTGGTGTCCAGTGGTGTCCCGTTGAGTGGGATCGCTAGTGAGATCGATGTTGTGTCCCGTGGTGGCCCGTGGTGTCCCGTGGTGTCCCGTTTAGTGAGATCGATAGTGAGATCAATCGTGAGACCGATAGTGAGATCGAGAGGTGTCCCGCGATGTCCCGTGGTGTCCCGTGGTGGCCCGTGGTGTCCCGTGGCGTCCCGTTGAGTGAGATCGACAGTGAGATCGATAGTGAGATCGACAAGTGTCCCGTCGTGTCCCGCGGTGTCTAGTGAGATCGATTGAGTCAGATGTTGGTTCCCCCCCTCTCCCCCCCCACAACCTCCTTATCACCCGAAGCCCGAAGGGTGGTCGTATAGGTATGTATATATATATATATATGTGTGTGTGGGGGTGGATGGCAGATTTAGTCCAGTAGATCATGTATAGTTGTGTGGTAGGGCTCACGCCGGTGGTACATGCAGTTATTCGAGTGGCAGCTTCAGCAGCGGCGGGCGAGGATATTGGAACAGCAGCACCCCACCGGGCGATCCAGGAGTACGCATCGGGCATGCTTCTGTGTCCGACGAACGCTTGCTCTTGGGCCTGGTGTGTGTGTGTGTGTGCGCGTTCTTCCCGTGTTGGGTCCTCGTTTTGAAAAGACATCGCCCCGCGTCTCCTCCTTCTTCTTTCCTCCTCCCTCCTCCCCCTCCTCCCTCGTCCCTGCGTTTCACCCACCCAGTACAGCGCATCGTGGCCCCACAGGGCGCTCCACCGAAGGCCCCAGTGGCACCACCCGCATGCGTCAAGCACACCCAGTTCGGAACACCCCTCACACGCTTCGTGGCCCCATAGGGGGCCCCACAGGGAGCCCCACCGAAGGCCCAAATGCCAGCGTTCGCATATGCCTTCCGCGCACATGTTGGCACAGCTCTCACACGCTTCGTGGCCCCATAGGCAGCCCCACCGAAGGCCCAAATGCCAGCGTTCGCATACGCCCACCGCTCCCATTTCGGCTCAGCCCTCACACGCTTCGTGACCCCACAGGCAGCCCCACCGAAGGCCCAAATGCCAGCGTTCGCATGCGGCCACCGCTCCCATTTTGGCACACCCCTCACACGCTTCGTGCTTCCATAGGGAGCCCCACAGAAGGCCCAAAATGCCAGCGTTCGCATGCGGCCACCGCACGCACTGTGGCACACCCCTCACACGTCTCGTGGCCCCACGGGCAGCCCCATCGAAGGGCCAAATGCCAGCGTTCGCATGCGGCCACCGCGCCCATGTTGGCACACCCCTCACACGTTTCGTGGCCCCACAGGCAGCCCCACCGAAGGCCCAAATGCCAGCGGTCGCATTTGCCTTCTGCGCACATGATGGCACACCTCTCACACGCTTCGTGGTTCCATAGGGGGCCCCACTGAAGGCCCAAATGCAGCGTTCGCATGCGGCCACCGCACCCATTTTGGCACACCCATCTCACGTTTCGCGTCCCCACAGGCAGCCCCACCGCAAGCCCAAATGCCAGCGTTCGCCTGCGGCCACCACACCCATGTTGGCACACGCCTCACACGTTTCGTGGCCCCACAGGCAGCCCCACCGAAGGCACAATGCCAGCGCTCGCACGCAGCCACTCCTCAGACGTCTTGTGGCCCCACAGGGAACTCCTCCGAATGCGGTGCATACAACGTCGGTATCCACAAGTGCATCTGATTGGGTCCTTCGCCATGGTCATTTTCTGGAGTTTCCTGATGCCTCCTGCGACCTCCGAGGCTTCCTGAAGCTTCCTGAGACCCCCTCTGCCGTCGAGGGCCACCCGGCAGCGTCCGCTCCAGGAAGAGCGGTTCCTCGCGTTGTTGTGCGATTGGTTTTCCTTGACCGTCACGGCTGGCCTGCTAACAAGCCCACCCGGGCTTCAACGCGACGACAGTTTCGAGGAAAGGGCCCCTTCCGATGAAAACGGGGTGCCTGGCGAGTGTGCAAAGGGTGGTGGCTGTGTCACACTTGAGGCCCCAAACCGTCTCGGACGCCCCGCGGCGCGACGCCTCATCCCCGATGGCACGGTGCGATGTACCCTCTTCCTGGTGTCCCGCTTGGCCCCGGGAGGGTGTGCTTTCTTTCTTTTTTTTTGAAAACAAAACGATGGTGAGAAACACTCCCCCCCGTCTCGGCGGTGACTGGGCGGGGGTGGGCGGGTTGGCGGGTTGCCTGGGTGGCGGGTTGGCTGGTCGGGCTGGTGATGACGAGTTGGCTGGGTGGCGGGGTGGTTGGTTGGGCAAGTCGGCTGGTTGGCTGGTTAGGTCGGCAGGTTGAGCTGTCTAGGGCAGTTGATTTCGATTACGCGTGCCGGGCCGTTAGGAATGTGTCGAGACTCCCACTGAACACAGGGAAAGGGGGGGTAAATTGCGTGCGGGCGTTCGAGAAGGAAGCAGACAGCCAAACAGCATGTGTCAGTATACCATTCCGCTGTGCCGAAGGCACGGTGGCGGATGAGTTGATCTCAGAAGAGGTGGTTCAGGGCTTTCGCCATGGACAGGGCTGGCAACAGTTCAACTGCCTGCCCCTGAGCACACCACCTTTGTTTTGACAACTCGCGCCAGCAACCCATGGCATCACCATGATCTGGAACGTTGCCTTTCCGAGCGTCGTTGCTCACCACTGTCTGCATGGAGGCTTGCATTTATGAATCTTGGATGCCACAGCAGTCTTCCACCGCGAAGAGTTCGTGCGCTGGGAGCGTCTGCGCACGCATTACGATCGCGCGCTTTCGCGCCGACTGATGTCCACGTCACTCGATGCTGGCCGGGGATCACACAGTTTAGCGGACCGCTCGAAGAAAGTATGCATGCTCTGCGGGCCGCCCTCGAGCAGGGCGGACTGCTTGTTGTACGCCCGCTTGGCTTCGGGATGTGCCCTGAGCACAGGGTGACAGCGAAGAGACACGGTGGGGGGCGTTGGTTGAGGAATGTGCCCAGGAGGCTTCAGGCCCTGGAGGATTCCGTATCTGACGAGGACGGCAGCGATATCAATGGCCACTCCACGATTTAGTTCCACCCAGCTCCCAGGCCCTTGTTATCTTGACCAATGGATTCTCATCCGATGCCTGCACCGTGCGTGAGGCGGCGAAGGCGCAGTACAGGGAAGGCGGCTTGCCCGTGAGCGGAGCGCCACTTCGCTACCGCCTTGCAGCCCGCAGGGAGGGTATGAGCCGGCCACGGTGACGCCGTGACGCCCCATGATGGGCAGCGAATGCTCGGCGGCTGCCCCCGTAGGCTCCATCACCACCACGCTCAATGCCTCTTGCTCGGACTCCTGCTGCTCGGCATCCACGGCGCGCTGCAGTCGGTCAAGACGGGTGCCACGGCCACCTCCATGATGCTCGAGTGGCCGGCGGGCCAGACGCACCCGATCGAGGCGGAGCCCGGCAGGGCGGAGGGCCAGAGCGAGGGTCAGGATGCCCCGGCAGAAGGAAGGTGGTCGCACGCTCGTGCAGGCCACAGGGCAGCAGTTCACTGCGCCCGCCGCCTGCGCCAACACATGCGGTGGCTTCGAAGAGGACCAGCCGGCCGTGGCGGCCAAGGTGCTCGTGCACACCGTGGCGGGCGTTGGGCGACCTGTGCCACACTGATGTGCCGTCCAGGCGTCGCAGATGGCCCAGGCGAGATCACTCGTGTGATCACTGGTGTGGACTCGCAGACCCTCTCGAATTCGAGCCCCGGCGGGTCTCATAATTAGCATGAGTTGTTTACGTTGCACTCGCTTCTTTCTGAAGCAGAAATTCAACCCATCAGTTTTTTTGCGCTACACTCGTCTGTCCTGGTGCGAGAGGAAGAGTTACAGTCGGCCCGGATTAGTAGGTCGACCCTGCCAGCTCAAGGGTACCCTTGTGTCCCGTGCCTTGCGACACGTGCCCTCTTACACTCCAGTGGCGATGTGGCCCTCGGAAGGGTCTTGTGTCCTCTCGCGTGTCCTGTCCAATGATGTCCGACTGTAGGCCCTCCTGCCCCGTTCTCTTCCTGCCGTTCTGGCGCGCCTGCGTCGTGCCGCGGGCCCCTCCTGCTCCGCGTCTCCTCTTGCCGCCTCCAGTCGCAGGTGTCGAGAGCTTTTGGGGCCACGCTCTTTGGCCACGTGCACCGCCTCTTTGAATTTGATGTCTGTTTACGCAACGCACTTCCTCCCGGGGACAAAAAAGCTTCCGCCCGATCTCCAAGCGCTTCTTGCGCGGGTGCTGTCCAGCATGTCTGCGGCGGGCCTCGCGGGCCTCGACCCTCCTGGGACCTGTGCAGCTCCTCTGCTTCGGCATTGCGGGCTCATTGCTCGGCAGCTGACCCTTTTTCTATCTCCTTGTTGCCCCTACTCTAAAGGACGACGACGACGATGAACTGAGGGCCCTGTCACAGGCTCGGGGCACGTGGCGGGAGGCGGGAGGGGGGAGGGCGAGGAGGGTGAGGAAGGAGGAGGAAGAGGAGGAAGGAGGAGAAGGGGAAGGAGGAGGTGGAGGAGGCGGAGGAGGAGGAGGGAGGAGGAGGAGAAGGAGGAGGCCCACTTGGGCCGTTCTTGGGGTATCTTCTTCTAGGCCCTCTCGAATCTACCCGAAAACGGTGTACATTACTAACATGACTGATATGTGATAGTTGCCGAATAGTGCTAGACGAGTTTTATAAACGATTCTTAGGCATCGGTCAAACTATTCGAACTATTCCATACCAGTTGTTGCGACCTCAGAGTAGTGACCATCTACGTTGCTGAACATTATTCGTATATGCTGTTTTCTTGTATCCCATTACATGTGCCATGCGCAAAACGTTGTATGTTGCATATCACATGTTTCCGTGCGCAAAACATGTTCGAACACATGTGTGCCCTTCGAGCAAGAAACATGTGTGTGTGACGCAGAGTCACATCAACATCATCACGTCATCATTACCACCATCATCATCAGCATCATCATCATCATCATCATCATCATGAGCATCCCCGTCACCGCGACCATTCCAGCATACACCTCACACTTTGGGTGGCCCCATGCCGGGCCGAGCCGACGGCCCCAATTGGAGGGTTCGCATGGCGCCGCCGCACCAAACTCGGCGCGGCGCACCCCTCACGCGGTTCGTGCTCCCATTGGCAATTCCACCGGGGGCCCCCATAGGAGGCCGCGCAAGGCGCCGCCGCGCTCGTTCCAGCGAACCCCTCACGCGGTTCGTGGCTCGATTTGGATTCCCACGGAGGGCCGCAATGGGTGGTTCCGCACGGTGCCGCCGAGCCCATGTCGGGGAACCCTTCACACGGCCCATGTCCGTGGCCCCATGGGTAGCTCGACCGAAGGCCCCTGTCGGCAGGTCCGCGGTGTGCCGCCGCACCCGTTTCGGCACACCTTCACACGGTTCGTGACCCCACAGGAAGCTCCACGGAAAGCCCCAGTGTAAGAGTCCCCACTGCGCGGCCGCATTTCGGCACACACCCCTCAGAGCTGGAACTCGCGGCTCCCTGGGGAGGTCGTCGTCGTCGTGGTCGTCGTCGTCGTGATGATCGTAGTCGCCGTGATCGATGTCATCGTCGTGTTCGTAGTCCTCGTCCTCGTCGTGGTCGTCGTCGTGGCCCTTCACGTGGTCTTTGGTCGTCGTCCTGATTTTGGTCGTGGTCGTTGTAGTCGTTCTTGCCGTGGTCACAGTAGTCGTGATGGTCGTCGTCGTCGTCGTAGTCGCGCTCGCCGTCGCTGTCGTGGTCGTTGTCGTCTCCGTGGTCGTCGTCGTGGCCGTGAACGTTGTCGTCATCGTCGTGGCCGTGGTCGTCGTCGTGGACGTGAACGTTGTCGTCTTCGCAAATGCCGCCGCGCTGGGGGGAACCTGGGGGTCCAGTGGAGTGGCGTCGTAAGCGCAGCCAGGCTGGACCCCGCGGCCTGCTCCCTGGGGGCGCAGCTGTCGTTACGTGCGTGGGCCTCCGGGGGGTTAACGGAGTGTCGCCAAACGCGCGCGCAGAATCGACTTCGCGGCTCGGTCCCGGGGGTCTCCGCCACCTGGGCAGTAGTCGCTACCTGGGGTTGTTGAGCGGAGAGGCGTCACACGCTCACCCAGTGGCGTCGTGTTCGCCGTCTTCGTCGTTGTTTCCGTCGTCGTCATGGCCGTGGCCGTGGTCGTCGTCGTGACCGTCGTCGTGGTCGTGGCGGCCGTGGTTGTCGTCGCCGTCTTGTAAATGGCCCTCGTTTTGGTCATTGTCGTGGTCGTCGTCGTGACCGTCGTCGTCATGGTCGTTGCGGTCGTGATCGACGTCGACGTGGTCGTCGTCATGGTCGTGGTCGATGTCGTTGTCGTCGTAGTCGCGGTCATGATCGTGGTCGTGGGCGTTGTGGTCGTGGTCGTCGTAGTCGTGGTCGTGGTCGTGGTCGTACTGGTCGCACTCGTCATGTTCGTGGTCCTGGTCGTCGTGTTCTACGTCGTGGTCGTCGTGGTCGGGGTCGTTTCACCCCCCCCCCGCGTGTTGCAAATACTGCGGCGCGTAAAACAGTCCACTGGCGCCAAGGCGGGAGTCTACCAAATTTGCTACGAACTGGCTAGGCTTCCGTGCGTGTTTTTGCAGCAAAAACGGCGCGCGCCGTCGCCTGAAAGGAAATTGAGGAAATGTCCGTCGTCGTCTTAGTCGTGGCCGTAGTCGTGATCGTCGTCGCCGTAGTCGTGATCATAGTCGGTGTCATGATCGTCATCGTCGTGGTCGTCGTCGGCGTGCTCGCGGTCCTCGTCGTGGCGTTAGTCGTCATCGTCGTCGTCGTGATCGTTGTCGTCGTTGTCCTCGTCGTGGTCGCGATCATTGCCAGAACCATCCTCGCCATCGTCATTGTCGTCATCGTCGTTGTCGTCATCATCATCACCGTCATCAGGACCGTTCTCACCTGGTCGTCGCGGCATACGTTCTCGAACCCCCCCACCTAAGGACCCTTAGGGGAGGGCTTCCGTTCATCGGGATTCTGACAGTTCTCGCCCCGCCCGCGAGCCCACGCGCAAAGTCAGATGCAATCTTCGTCGTGTGCACCTCAGCGGCCCCGAAGTCGAGCAACGAGCGAGCTCCTCCCCCTATCCTCTTTCTCCCTCTCTGTTTGAAAATGTGCATTGCTTAGCAAGCTACATTGTTTAGCCTTGCGTTTGCATGTGTCTCGAGCAGCCCGTGGCAGCAGGCTGCACATTGCGCGCTTGCTACGCACTGCACATTTGCGAGGTGTAGCTTGCTACACACATGCGCATTCGTAACGTCTAGCTTTCTATAACTCTCAATGTTGCAGTTCATATCTTGCCATGCAAATTCGTTTGGATGTCACGGCCCCTTCTCATCGCCAAATTCTCCCCCCAGAGGTTCGAAGCTACAGATCCGTCATTCCTGACGACAGCAATGTTGATTACGACGGCGATGACAAGGGCGATGGCACCCACGATGGTTATGACGACGATGGCGATCATTCTTACAGCCAGCGTCGATGCAGACGAGGGCCAGGACGTTGAAGACGACGCCAGCGACGATGACGAGCACGACGATGACGGCAACGTCTGTGACAACGAGGATGTCGACGACCAGGTGAGGACGTTATTGATGGCGGCGGCGATGACGAGGGTGGCGATGATGAAAATGTCGATGGCGAGGATGGTTCCGGCGACGATAACGACCACGACTAAGACAACGCCCGCGACGACCACGACGACAACGAACACGAATACAACAACGACCAAGACGACGACCATGACCACGATTCCGACAACGATTGCGACGACGACGACGACGACGATCACGACTACGATCATGACGACGGCTACGACCACGCAATTGACGACAGCCACGACCGCGACGATCACGACGACCACAACAACAACCCCAACCACAACCACGACGTCGAGGTCAACGAAGACGATCACGACTACAATCACGACCACGGCCAAGACCACACTCACGACCAAGACCATGAAGACCACGATCACGGCCACCACAACGAACACGACGACCACGCCGACGACGACCGAGACAACGATCACGACCACGGCGTTGGCGACGGTCACCACCACGACGGCGACGACCACGACGACGACCACGACCACGACGACGGCCACGACGACGACCTCCACCACGGCCATGACGACGAAGACGGCAACAACAACGACCGCGACCACGACCACGACGGCGACGACCACGACCACGGCGACGACGACCACAAGGACCATGACGAACACGACCACAACCAGGACGACCGCGACCGCAACCGCGCCGACGACGACGAAAACGACGACGACCACGACCACGACCACGACGACGACCACGACCACAACCATGAGCACGACCACGGCCACGACGACGACAACGATCACGGCGGCTGTGACGACGACGACGATCGTGACCGCAATCACGACTACCACGATCCTGACGACGACGACTACGACAACGACGACCACTGCTACGACGACGACCACGGCAACGAAGATGACCACAACCATGACCAGAACGAGGACAACGACCACGACGAAAACGACCACGAGCGCGACGGCTACAACCACCACGACAGCAACGACGACGACAACGACCACGACGATGACGATGAAGACGACCACGGCCACAACAACGACGACAACGACAACGACGGGGACCACGACCTCGACGACAGCGACGACCATCACCGTCACTGCGACCACGACCACAACGACCACAACGACCACGGCCACAACCAGGACGACGACAACGTCCACGGCCACGATGCCGACCGCGAGGACCACGACGACCACGACCACGACGGCCGCGACCATCACGGCAACGACCACGACGACGACAACCTCCCCATGGAGCCACGAGGTTCAGTCTCTCGAGGTTGTGCCGAAATGGGCGCGGCAGCACGGTGGAGGTTCTTGTGGGGCCACGAACCGTGTGAAGGTGTGCCGAAAAGGGCGCGGCGGCACAAAGCGGACCTTCCCACAGCGGCCTTCGGTGGAGCTCTCGGGCCGTGCGAGGGGTGCACCGAAATGGGCCCAGCGGCCCCGTGCGGACCCAACCAGTGGGGTCTTCCATGGAATTCCAAGTCGAGCCATGAACCGCGTGAGGGGTGCGCCGAAATGCGCGCGGCGGCGCCTTCCGCGCCCTCGAATAGGGGCCTTCGGTGGAGTTCCCCAAGGGGCCACGGACCGAATCTGGTGCGGCGGCGCCATGCGAACCCTCCAATCGGGGCCTTCGGCTGAGCCCCGTGTGGGGCCACCGACAGTGTGAGGGGTGCGCCGTTTTGATACATTTGATACATTGGTTTGTTACCCTGAGATGCTCATGTTTGTCATTTTGATTTTGCATTTGGAGTTTTCACGTTTGGTTTTTGTCTACCCTGAGATGATCATTGTTGTCAGTTTGAGTTTTCGTTGGGGGTGTTCGTTCTTGGTTTTGTTACCCTGAGATTTTCATCTTTAGTTCAGTTGGGAACGATTGGGGTGCGCCTTGAAGTGGGGGCACTCCTGGTCCGTTATGGGCAGTGAGCCCCCTGACCCCCCGCGGGGATGGCATTCTGACCCGGAACCCCCCCAGGATCCCCCCCCGAGACTCCCCCGGAACCTCTCTTGGGACCCTTTCGGGGACCCCCTCCTGGGCTCCCCCCTGCGGCCCCCCCGCAGACTCCCCCTGGGACCCCCCTCCCTTAACCACCCTCACCGTGGGGGATGGGATCAATGGAAAGGGGCCTTCCCTCGACTCAACTTCGACTCTGCTCAATTGCGCCTTGGTTTCGCGTTGGCTGGCTCGCTTGAGGAGGAGGGCACAGTGAAGTGGGGGACAGCGGCGACGGGCCACGACAAGAACGACGACGACGACTACGACGAGTCAAACGGAACAGCGTCTTCCATATGCCGACAGGGCCGGTGGATTAGTACTAATTGTTCCTCTTGTGCTCCATCCTTCCCCGTGTCCTCCTTCCCTCTAGTCATGGCGCCCGCACTTCTTCCTTCCTGGCCGCCTTCTGGCGTTAGCGGGCACGCCATCATCTCCATTGTTCGCGGGTTGATGGGCCGCGCGGTGTCGCGGTGAGATGAGGCATCACCTACCTTCATGCAGCGATATGCGAGGTTCTCGATTGCACTCTTTGCACGTCGATCAAGGAATCAGCTGCGACCCTACGACATTCTTACAGGACGCGATGCGATGGCCGTCCAGATGCGAACATTCCTAGCGCACGACACCTCTCTCGCTCGGGCCCCTGGTCCGATGTGCTACCAGAGCCATGTGATCCAAGGATGTATCGGGTTTTCCCGGAGCTTCTCGGACCAGGATCAGCGTTTTCGTTCAGTGGGTCTTTCGGTACCGCCCTGCAAAAGCTTTCGACATGTTGGCGGAGGAGGAGGAGGACGAGGAGGCGGAGCAGGCGGAGGAGAAGTAGGAGGAGGAGGAGGAGGAGGAGGAGGAGGAGCAGGAGCAGGAGCAGGAGCAGGAGCAGGAGGCGGAGGAGGAGGAGGACCCCCCTTTCGGCCTCCCGCTTTCCTGCTCCCGCGGAGCGCATCCTGGCACACGCACGGCGGCGGCAGCCGCTGGCATCTCGTCTTGACCATGCCCGCTTGCACCGTTGATGGTTCTGAGTCTAAGCCTCGGCGACGCGTGATAGTGACTCAGAGATCCAGCGTATTGACAAAAAACAAGACTGAGGTTTTTCTCAAATTCGGGCCCCATAGGGGCCCTCGCCAGGCCTCGGGACCGTCAAGCAACGACTCGGGACGAAAAACCGCCCCTGGGGCATGGGTCGAGACTTCCGGGGACCGCGCATCGAAAAAATCACGACATCGGATCTCTGGGGACCTTTCGCCGGAGTGACCTCTGGTGCGGGCGCACTTGGGGTCCCCAGGTGATCCCACGCGACGCGATAGCAGCGTCTGGCGCGCCTGGGCGTGGCCTCCCCGCGGCCCTCGACAGTCGCGAACCATTGGCCACTCCTGCCCAGGGCCGCTCCTGCGCGTGGCCGCTCGCAGCCCTCCTGCTCGACCTCCGCTCCCTCCAGGCGCGCCGGCCGTGAGCGGCGCCGAGCGTGCCCTCCTCCGCCTTCTCCTCCTCCTCCTCCTCCTCTTCCTTACCTCCTCCTCCTCCTTCTCCTCCTCCTCCTCCTTCTCCTTGTCCTCCTCCTCCTCCTCCTCCTCCTCCTCCTCCTCCTCCTCCTCCTCCTCCTCCTCCTCCTCCTCCTCCTCCTCCTCCTCCTCCTCCTCGCCTTTGTTTGGTGGCGCCCTTGGTCGAGAGCGCTCTCGGCGCTCCTGAGGCCTCCGCCGTGCTCCGGCGCTGCGCACCTCTGCTGCTCGAGCTGTCCTCGTCCGCCCCGTCACCGAACCTGGCACACGTGGGAGGTGCCCCGGCGCTGTCCTCAGTCGGGGGCGGAAAAGAGGGGAGTGACGACTGGGGGGGGGTGGATATCATGGCGGGGGCCATGATAGTTCCCCAGATTTCATGGCGCCCCTTCTTATCTCAATGCGTCCTCGCCCCCCCCCCTGGGCCGCGCTCATGCCGCCGGCCATGATTTGCGCCCCCCCCTCTTGGACATCCCCCTCCTGGCCGCCCCCGACTCAGTGGGTCCTGGAAACGACAGGGCATCCTTTTACGGTTCTTTTTTTGTTTTAAAAAAAAAGCAAAACAATCCTTGAACATTTGTTTTGGTAACTAAACACAGTTTCTGGTGCCGTGATGCTGACGTTGCCAGCGCCGCTTTTTCACCACCCTATCCCTGGGCCTGATCCTGATCGCAGCTGTTTAACTGGATCCTGACCGTTTTCGAACCCGTTCCAGATGGCCCTCGGATCCCCAGACTGCCCAGGTCGTTTCGGTGCATTGTTTTGGTCACCAGTCTTTTGGCTTTTGCAACCAGCAAGAGGCAGTCTGTCGAAAACGGTTCGAAGAACGCCCCTGGCGTCCCCAGGGCCCACTGCAAGGGCGTTCTAACCCCCCCCCCTCGCCGTACCCCAGGGTAGGTGTTCGATCATGGGTCTCTGGTTGAACGCAACCATCCAGCCTTCGCGCCGAAGATCGCCAGAGACCGCCACAGACTGCCGAAGATGATCCGAAGGCCGCCGAAGACTGCCCGAGGACCACTCGTAGACCGCCGAAGACGGCCTAAGAGCAATGGGTGAGCCACGCGCCGAGGAGGCTTCGAAGCATCCCTGCTCTTTAGGCGCGGGCCTTCTCTGTAGACGTAGGGCCTTCGCTTTCAAAGAAGCAGCCTCCTCCTAAGGAGCCTTCCCCCCTCCTCCTATCCCCCTCGTGCGCGCCGCCAAACAGGGGCCCATGGTCCTAGGGATCCCCTCGGTTTCTGAGGGCGCACCCCTGAGATTATCATCGCTCCGCGGCGTCTCAACTCTTGGGGATAGGGCTACGCTCCAGGCTGGGCCGTAAGCCTCGGATGCAACTCCTGGGAGGTCAAACTCAGACTTTGCCCTGGTCCGAAATCTAGCTTCACCTGGCCTGCTCCCGCTGAATCCGGCTAGATCCCGCGTCCTCCGGCTCAGTCCCGCGTCATCCGCGGCCTCATCCAGCGCAGCAGCCCCCCAATGAGGCTAATGTTTGATAATCCTTCCGACGAAGACATCCCAGTACAGTCGACCCGCATAGGAAGGAGGGGCAACCTTCCCAAGGTTACCCTCGCATCCTTGCCCCTTCGGCCCATCCTTGGCCACGCTCGCTGGCCGCGCGTCCCGCTCGAAAAACCTTGACGTGGCCTTCGGGGCCCTTGCATCCAGCAACCAGTGGCCCGTGGCCGAGCACGCACCCCCCGGGGAGCCGAACAAGAGGGGATCAAAAAGTGGCATCAACATAAAAACTCGTAGGCCCGCGCGGAATTCTCGGATCGGCGCGGGACCGCCCTCCCTGGCGCGCGGAGCGCGCCAGGGGCGGCGCCCGAGGCGCCGCCAAGGGGCCCCAGTGCCGTCCCGAGAAGTCCGCAGGGACCTCCGAGTTTGTATGGTCATGTCATTTTTCGTGCCCCTAGAGCAAGACACCTGATAGCCTGCTTTCCACCACCGTAAGTTGGGGGGGGAAGGAGGTGGAGGATGGGACGGAGGACGAAGAGGAGGAGGAGGAGGAGGAGGAGGAGGAGGAGGAGGAGGAGGAGGAGGAGGACCCCTCCCCCTCCTACGTACGGTGGTGGCGGTGGAAAAAAAACAGGCCCCACCGACACACGCGTGGGCCCCATGGCGCCTGCCGCGGCGGCGATCCTGCTGCTGGCGGCGCTGCCCCCGCGCCCCGCCGCGCTCGGCGTGGCACCCCGCCGCGAGGGCCTGGCGCCCCAGAGGGGCACGCTACGCCGATACGAGGCCCAGGAGCGCCGCCTCCTCCTCCTCCTCCTCAGTCCTCCTCCTTCTCCTCCTCCTCCTCCTCCTCAGTCCTCCTCCTCCTCCTCCTCCTCCTCCTCCTCCTGCTCCTCCTCGGTCCTCCTCAGTCCTCCTCGTCCTCCTCCTCCTTCTTCTCCTCCTCAGTCCTCCTCAGTCCTCTCTCCTCCTCCTCCTCCTCGGTCCTCCTCAGTCCTCCTCAGGCCTCCTCTCCTCCTCCCCTCCTCCTCCTTCTCCTCCTCCTCCTCCTCCTCCTCCTCCTCCTCCTCAATCCGAGGAGACAGGAGGAGGAGGTGATGAGGAGGAGGAGGAGGAGGAGGAGGAAGAGGGGGAGGAGGAGGAGGAGGAGGAGGAGGAGGAGGAGGAGGAGGACTGGGTGGTGGTGGTCACTGCATAAGGGAAACGAGACCCGAGCAGAGAAACACGTATCACGACCACGACGACGCCGACGACAACGACGACAACGACGACGACGGAGACGAGGCGCGCAGACGATCGGCGCTGAAGCACGGAGTCGAGAAAGGGCCCACCCTGCAGGTTCGGTTAAACAGCACATCGTTGAGTGGTGCTGCAGCCTCCCCTGCGCACAGGCCCCCCCCAGAGCAACAGCCAGACAGGTCGGGTTTCAAACCTCATGCCTTGCTGGACGCAGGGCGCGTTTCGGCACCCTCTCCCCAAACCTCGTCAGGGCAACCGACAATGGAGAGGGCGGCGGTGGCCGACGAGGACTGAAGAGGAGGAGGAGGAGGAGGAGGAGGAGGAGGAGGAGGAGGAGGAGGAGGATGAGGATGAGGAGGAGGAGGAGGAGGAGGAGGAGGAGGAGGAGGAGGAGGAGGAGAAGGAGGAGGGAGGACTGAGGAGGAGGAGGAGGAGGAGGAGGAGGAGGAGGAGGAGGAGGAGGAGGAGCGGAGGAGCAGGGCGTGAGAACAGAATCTGCAGGCGCACGAGACGCGGGGAGGAGGCCGTGCGGAGGAGCAGGGCGTAATGCCCAGAACAGTGCCCCGAATCTGCAGGCGCACGAGGCGGTGCCCCCACGCGGGGACAATCGGATGCGCCGTGCCGGCTGCGCGCGTGGAGGGCCGGCGCACCGTTTTTCCGCGCCAGGGCCAGGCGCGCTGGAGAGACATCCGGTCTCGGCTCGGGGCGGGTATCCTCGTGCTCTTCGTGTTTGTTGGAGGTTCTTGTGCGTCCTGCGGGACGGTACCCTCGAACGCGTCCCTGTAAGCCGGTGTCTTCCACCACGCCACGTTTGCTGGGCGGCAGACTGCAGACGGCCTCGACGTTGCGCGGGGCTCTGCTGCACATTGCCTACACATTGGCTGCCTCATGCGTTTTGATGCTCCCGAGCACACGGGCGAATGCCCCTCATGTTGTCTCAACGGCACGGGGAGTCCCTGCAGCCCTCGGGGTTTGGGCTCCTGCCCTGCGCCAGCCTGCGTCTGGCGGGCAGAGGTTCTAGTGTTCTTGAAGGGGTCAGGCGCCGGTCGGGCCAGAGCGCAGCCCCTCTCAGAGGAGGAGGAGGAGGAGGAGGAGGAGGAGGAGGAGGAGGAGGAGGAGGAGGAGGTACCCATACTTCCCACCCCTCCCTCGCTTTCGCCTTCTTGTGCCGCCAGGGAGGCCCTCGTCCCCACCGCGGGATTCGCGTCGAGATTTGGCTCCCAGCGCACCCCGGGAGCGGTCGAGGGAGTAGCGGTATCGGCACCCGTTTGTTGCCCCGCTCTCTCGGCGGCGAGATCCGACCCCTACCCGCTAGGGGAACAAGCAATGACAGGAACATGCAGGGGGGGGCCATGCCAGGAAACACCTTGCTTGCCTCCTCCTCCCACCCTCCTCCTCCTCCTCCTCCTCCTCCTCCTCCTCCTCCTCCTCCTCCTCCTCCTCCTCCTCCTCCTCCTCCTCCTCTCCACCTCCTCTTCTTCCTCAGTGGCAACATACAGTGGAAACCCATGCCAAGAAACACCTTGCTTGCCTCCAGGGTGCCCCGGGTTTCTTGGGTCTCGATGGAATTGCTATGGAAAGCGTGACGCCCCCACACCACAAGTCCATGGACGTCCTGGGGTCTCAGGGTGGGGTCTCTTGTGGCAGGTCTCCTGTGGTCGAGCCCCTGCTGTACACAGGTCGGAGGTCCGCGCGGATGCCTCGCATCGGCGCCGGGGCTCCGGCTCGATCCGACTCGACCCCAGCACTCCGGCGGCCCGGCGCGCCCAGTGCTTGCACGGCGCTGCGGTGCATCCCAGCGCGGCCGATCCCGCTCGGTTGATGGGCCTGTTTTCCAACACCATCACCACCATAAGTTGGAGGTGGGAAGGAGGAGAGAGGAGGAGGAGCAGGAGGAGGAGGAGGAGGAGAAGGAGGAGGCGGAGGCGGAGGCGGAGGAGGAGGCGGAGGAGGAGGAGGAGGGGGAGGAGGAGGAGGTGGAGGAGGTGGAGGAGGAGGAGGAGGAGGAGGAGGAGGAGGACCCCCTCCCCCTCCAACTTATGGTGGAGGTGATGGAAAGCAAGCCCATCATCGGTCTCGATGGCGTGCCAATGCAGGCACGATGCAGCCTGATTCCACGCACACTCCGACTCGATTTCGGTTATCGAGTCGAGTAGGAGGCCACAGGCGAACCCTGCCCCACCACCCCACCATTTCCGAGGGGTGTGGTGGGGTAGGGTTCCAGGGGAACGAAGAATGAACACAAAATCTCGGAGGTCCGCGCGGACGCGGACCTCCGAGCTTTATGGCGGCGGACCCCCTGGCGCGCTCCGGGGTCCAGCGCGGATCCGAGAAATCCGCGCGGACCTCCGAGTTTTATCTTTGTGCCATTATTTGTTACCCTACATGTGGCCTCCTAACCGATGTTGAGCCCTCACCTCCGCCGTGCACCCACGAGCCTACAAAAGTGGCGACAGCTCTGCACTTCGCAGCCTCGCAGGGAGCCGCGAAGTCTCGGCTGGATCCGCGTGGTCCCCGACTCCGCTCGACCTCCCAGGAGCCCACGAAAATGGCGACAACTGTGCAGTTGGCGGCGTTCCCAGGGAGCGGGGAGGTCTTGTCTGGCTGCGTGTGGCCCCCGACTCCGCGGGACCTCCCAAGAGGCCCACGAAAGTGGCGAGACTTGCGCAGTGCGCAGCTGGGTGCGCGTGGTCCCCGACACCTCTGGACCTCCCAGGAGATCAGTTGCGCAGAGCGCAGTTCGCAGCCAGGAGCCCACGAAAGCTGCGACAGTTGCAAAGTTCGCAGCCCCCCAGGGAGCTGCGAGATCTCGTCTGGGTGCGCGTGGCCCCCGACTCCGCTGGACGTCGCAGGAGCCTACGAACATGGTGACAGTTGCGCAGAGAGCAGCCAACCAGGGAGCAGCGAGGTCTCGTGTGGGTGCGCGTGGCCTCAGATCCCGCCGTGCCTCCCAGAAGCCCACGAAAGTGCGACAACTGCGCAGTTCGCAGTCCCCCCGGGAGTTGCGAGGTCTCGTCGGGGTGCGCGTGGCCCCCCACGCCGCTGGACCTCCCAGGAGCCCACGAAAGTGGTGCCAGCTGCACAGTTCGCAGCCCCCCCACGGAGCAGCGAAGCCTCGGCTGGGTGCGCGTGGCCCCCGACCCCGCCGTGCCTCCCAGGAGCCCACGGACGTTGCGACCGTTGCAAAGTTCGCATTCCCCCAGGGTGCTGCGAGGTCTCGTTGCGCAGAGAGCAGCCATCCAGGGAGCAGCGAGGTCTCGGCTGGGTAGGCGTGGCCCCCGACTCCGCTGGACCCCCCTGGAGCCCCACGAAAGTGGCGACAACTGCGTTGATCGCATCCACTCAGGGAGCAGTGGGGCCTCTGATGGGTCCGCGTACGCCGCGACTCCGTTGTACACCCCAGGAGCCCACGAAAGTGGCGACGGTTGTGCAGTTCGCAGCCCCCCATGGAGCTGTGAGGTCCAGCCTGCGTGCGTGTGCTCCCCCATGCCGCCCGGAAACTTACGAACGTGGCGCCAGTCTTTCCAGTTCGCAGCCCTCCAGGGAGCTGCGAGGTCTCGGCTGGACGCTCCCCGACCCCGCCGTGCCTGCCAGGAGCCCACGAACGTGGCAGCATTTGCGCAGCGTGCAGCCCCCGTATGGAGCTGCGAGGTCTCGGCTGGATCCGTTTACTCACACAGTCCGCCGTGCCTCCCAGGAGCCCACGAACGTGGCGACATTTGCGCAGTTGGCAGCCACCCATGGCGCTGCGCAGTCTCGGCTGAATCCGTGTACTCCCCCACGCGGCGCCAGTTCGAGGCCCCCCAGGGAGCTGCGAGGTCGAGTCTGATTGCGTTTACTCCTCTGCTCCGCCGTGTTTCGGAGGAGCCCACGGAAGTGGCGGCAGTTGCACAGTTCGCAGCCCCGCATGGAGTTGCGAGGTCTAGTCTGAATCCGTTTACTCCCAGGAGCGCACGAACGTGGCAACGGCTGCCAGTCTGCAGCCCCCTAGGGTGCTGCGAGGTCTAGTCTGAATCCATTTACTCCTCTACTCCGACGTGCCTCCAAGGAGCCCACGAAAGCGGCGACAGTGGCCAGTTCGGAGCCGCCGGGAGCTGCGATGTCTGGTCTGAATCCGTTTACTCCCCTAGTCCGCGGTGCTTCCAAGGAGCTCACGAAGGTGGCGGCAGTTGCACAGTTCGAGGCCCACCCAGGGAGCTGCGAGGTCTAGTCTGAATCCGGTTACTCCCCCACTCCCCTACTCCGCCGTGCCTCCAGGGAGCCCACGCATGTGGCGACAGTTGCGCAGTTCGCAGCGCCCCAGGGAACTGCAAGGTCGAGGCTGAGTCCATTTACTCCCCTGTTCCGCCGTGCCCCCCAGGAGCCCACGAACGTGGCGACAGTTGCGCAGTTCTCGCAGCCTCCCAGGGAGCAGCACATGAGGAGGCAAGACGACGGGGAAGAATAAGGAGGGGTGTGCGACCTCAGTGTTTCATTCAAGACGAGAACCCAACGCAGGAAGGGATGAAAACACATTGCGTCGGGGGTCTGGCACATTATTTCGCATAGATTTCGAGAGAGCGCACTACGCCAGCGTTCATGACATGAGGGTGGCATCGCGAGAAGTTTGGCTTATTCATGTCAATGCGCGATTGGGCGCGTACGTTCTCTTTGGGCTCCACAGGGGAGGGGCCCGAACGCGGTTAAGACCGCGATTGCACCCAAGGCCCCCGAGCGAAGAAGGCATGCGAGGTTGGAGGTGCTGGGCTTTTGTCCAGCCGTTTTCCTGATCCAGGGGCCAGCTCGCGGCTGCTGCCCCAGGTCGGCGGCGAGCCAGGGGGGAAGTGAGACTTCTCAGAACTCCTCGCGCCCTCTGAGAAGTTTCCCGCGCAGTCTCGGGGAAGGCTTAGAAATTGTTCAGAAGGCCAGGGATCTGCCGAGCCTCACTTCCCCCCGGGCTAGCCGCCGAGCAGGATCGTCAAACGTCAGCCGGGGATAAAACAATTGCCACGATGGATCCACGGAGGAGCCCGTGGACCCAGTGAGTCGTCGCCTCATGCCACGGTAGCAATCACGATAACGGTCAAGGTAAGGGTCACGGTCATGGTCACGGCAACGGCCGCAGCAACGGTCACGCCTTGGTGGAGGACAAGGCCATGTGCAATGCCGTTGCCATGGTCACGGTCACCGTCGCGGTCACGGTCATTGTCATAGTCACGGAAACAGTCGCGGTCTCGGTCAGGGCCATTGCCACGGTCGCGGTCACGGTTACGGTCACGCCCTCCATGTCTTCATTATGTCGATGTGGACAGCGACACCAACAATGTGCTTCCGAATTATTGCCACACTCGATGTGTTCCGTATTTCTGCTCCGCCCGACCCGCCGGTCCGCCCAACCCGGCCTGGCCGTTAGAGTCTGCCCGGCCCAATCAGGCCCACCGCCCGAGTGATGGCCCTTTTCGATGATATGGGACCTTTCGCGCCAACGTCGCGCCCGACTCGTCCCTCCTCACGACCCCACCCGCCCGTTTGTGTCCGCCCGCCCGACTTGCCCGGGAGGGCCCGCCGGCCCGACACGCCCGTCCAGTCCGCCGGCCCTCACCGGACATGATCGTCCGAGCTCCTGGCTTTGTCCGGCGGGGTCCCAGACTTCACGGGAGCATCAGGCCCCTGGAGACCACGACACAGATAAACCAGGACACGGAAAACCAAGGAAACGACATCCTTTCCTGCAAAGTCACGTTTTTCAGCACCCGTGCATGTTTTGTTTGCTGCACTGCAGGATTCGGGATTGTGTCCCGGTGTAGGGGGGTCTTGCAGGCTTTTGAGGCCTGTGTCCGGGTTTATTTTGGAAATGTTGCAGTGCAGTATTTCGTGCGTGCCGCCGTTTGGATAAATTGATTTCGAGGGATGTTGGGTGTCTGGGTCTATCGTGTCCGGGTCTACGGGGCCCTGAAGCAGAGTCGTACCCGAGCTGTCCCGCGCGTGAGCGCGCCGTCCCAGCCGCCCGCCGCCGCGACCAGGCCAGCCCGGCAGAGCGCGCCTGCCAGTCCTGCCCGTCGGGGCCCGCCCGTCCCGGCCGCCCTCCTGGGGTCCCTCGAGGGTCGGCCCGCCCGACCCGGCCAGGCCGGCATCGCTCGGAGGTGTGCCGTCCTCTCGGCGGGGGCCATGGAGGAGCATGCTGCGCCATCTTGCGTAAGAGACGCAGCCACGCCGCCGAGAAGCGCGCGGGGAGTGGACGTCCGAACGATGGCGAGGTTGGGGCCCCTTTCCACCAGATGCCCTGTGGGCGCATGCTCGTGGGCGTCGGGGACCGCTGGATCGTTTGCCGCCTCCTCCGCCGCGCTCTCGCTGAGTTCACCGAGCGCCACGAGGGCCGTGACGTCTGACGAAGGAGAGACGAACATGAGAAGTGGCACTGGAGACAGATGGGGCGTTCCAAGGATCGAAGCAGTTCCTATCTCTTCCGCGGCGGAAGCGCGGCGGAAGATCGGCGAAAGTAAGACGAGGCCGACTCCGCCACTGGCGGAAGCTCAGTGGATGGCGGCGGAAGTAAAGTATGTGTCTCCAAAAGATGAAACACGTTTTGAATTCAGGGTACTGCAATCGACCAGATATCGAGTATGTTTCGTGCAGGGTTTTTTTTGTGGAGGGAGGGGAGGAGGAGCAAGCGAAAGGAACAGGGAGAAGGGGGGGCGCGCGGGCATCTTGGGAGGAAAACGAGAAGCTCGACATCGGCCAAACGAACAAGGTCGGCGTCACCAGATACGACAAGGACAGGATCCGCGCGATCAAGAGCAAGGCTGGTGCGTGGTGGCCAGACGCGGGGGCGCGGTCATCCAAGCTGGAGGGTGCTCAGGATCTCAGCGACAACGTGTCTTGGGGATGGCACCACCCCAACGGCATCTACGCCACCATCCCGGTTGGCGCTCCGCTCATCGACGCCAGCTCGAACATCTATCTCTCCTCGGACGACGCCGTCCGCAAGTTCACTGCCAGCGGAGAGCTCGAGTGGAGCTACGCTCCCCGCGGCCAGATTGCAGCCGCGCCCTCCTTGGTGCAGGTCAGGGCTGGGCCTAAACGGTGTCTTGGCGATCTCGTGGGCCGTGTTCGTTTCGGCTTCGCTTTGCGGTAAAAGGCGGATTGACGACAGAACGAGGGAAATCCGAAAACAACACGAGAACGAACAACACCGTTTAGGCTCGGCCCCGGTGCAGGTCTCCGCGGCCCGGCGGGAGGGGTTTGTGGTGCCGGCCCCACCCGCGACCATCTCCGACGAGGCGGCGCTGGGCGGCGGTCCGCCCGCGACCATCTCCGACGTGGCGGCGCCAGGCGACAGCGCCGACGAGGGCGAGCTGATGCAGGACTCCGAGGCCGAGGAGCAGCTGGCCCCGTCGTGGACCAAGCAGGAGCCGCGGGAGCAGAGGCCCAGAGCGGCCCAGCCTTGAGTCGGGCATGGCCCCCCTACAGGGGGGATGTTCAGAAATAGTAGAAGGACAGTGTGAGGACGCTGTTTTTAGTATGTTTGAGTATTTGTTGGTGTTTGTTGTGGACTATGTGTTCTTTTTCGTCCAAAATCCGCCTGAAGGGGGTCATGCCCGACCTCAGCCCAGCCCCCCGCTGCGCCAAGTCAAAAGCACGCCGCATGCTTCCTCGCAGGGGCTCCCATTGGGCCCAGGATCATCGAGCGCTGGTCTGAAGGAAGGGGTCGACATTTTTTGGGGGTCCTCAGAGCGCAAAAACTCACAGCGTCGGTAGTCTGGGGAGCCCGGATCCTGCTTCGCTCCCTGCCCCCCCCCCCCCCCCCCAGGGCTTTTCGGTCTTGGTTCGTCTCTCGAGGGCGCCCCAGGGGATGCCCGAAAGCTCCCACGAGATGCAAAACTTAAATCCTCTGCCCTGCCTCTTCTGCAAGAGCTTGCGTCGCGTTGGGGCGGCCCCTGGGACGCCCGTTCAGCGGCTAACGCGCCCAGCGGCATGTGTGCGTCGCGACAGTCGCTTCCACGGAACGTGCTCTTTCCCAAATAGCCGCGCTCGCTCCGCGTTCGCTGCCACGCGCAACTGGCAAAATTAAAAAAAACTGATCTTCGTCATCATCATTCTCCTCCCTCCTGCTACTTCTCCCTCCTCCTCCGCGAAAGGGAGATGCCGCTTCTCCTCCGCCTGCTGGAGCAGGGATGAGGAGGAGGACCCATAGCTCCGCTGCGTTTGCTTGTTCAATCCTCGGCCTCGACCCTTTGCCCGAATCGCTGGGAGCTGTGTTCTGCTGTGTGTCGATGTTGTATGACTCTGGGGACCGAAAACGGCCCTCACAGAAACCTGGAAGTTCGCAAACGGCATTGACGGGCAAACTCGGACAATCAATCCGCCCGACGATGGAAAGGAACAGCTGAAGAGAAGGAGGAGGAGGAGGAGGAAGAAGAGGACCCGTGTAAAAACAGAGGCCGTGTTCATTTTGGCTCAAGGTCGAGACCCGTGTCGCAGCGCTTCGAGCTTGTGGTTTCCGCCGCCGATTGACAACCCTCGCGGGGGCGCCTGGACGTTGCGCCCCCCTGCTCTCTTCCCAGTCTGCTCGCGGTATTCCAGTGGCGTAAGCACCGCCGCGGCCGCAGTGGATGGAGCTGGAGCGCATGGGACGGCAAGGGCGGCAACGAGGAGCCCAAGGAGACTCAGGCAGCCGCCAGCCAGCAGCACGTCGTGTGTGATGTGTGTGTGATGTGTGGCATGAGAAGTGGCTCCCGCGGGCTTGCAAGGACCCGCTCTGCCTTGTGGAAGTCACCCTCTCGCAGGAGCCGGAGGGGATGATGACGGAGGTGCTCAGCCAGCCCAGCCTGACCCGCAGCTCCGGAGCATCTCGGTCGCGCTCCGAGGGGCGCCCGGGGCCGCCGCAGCTCGCGGCCGTCCGGGCACAGCACGCGGCAGCGGCCAACACAAGCTCGAGGGAACAGAAGCGCCAGAGCCCAGGGAGGCCGGCCTCGACTTAAGGGGGCTGCACGCCGGGCCGCATCCCACCGCGCCGCGTGCTGGGCCAAGGGCGGGGCCAGCTCGGGGAGCAGCACACACGCCCGGGCCAAGAGAGCGACCCCGTGGCCGCCGAGGCCCAGCTGGCAGACCGCCAAGCGGGAGGCGGCCCACAGGCCCAGGTCAGTGGGCGGGACCGCGTAAACGCCGCCAGGGTTCACACCAGCGCCGAGCCCCGGCCGACCAGCGGCAAGCGCTGGACCGCTCCCCGGCGCGGCCGCCCGCAGCTCGCCGCCAGGCCCCGGGAGGTGGCGAGCGGCGGGCCTGCCCCAGGCTGCGCCGCAGCCGCCGGGCCTGGCGCAGCGTCTGCGGCGGGCGGCGCGGCACCCGCGGCCCCGGGCAGCGAGGTGCGGCGCCCACCCCTCCCATCGCCGAGCGCGTTCCACTGCTCGCAGGGTGCCTGCTCGCAGACGTCCGAACAACAGCTGGCTGCTTCGATGCCATTTGTCGCAGGTCTCGCCGCGGCGGCTCCAGCCACTTGCGAGCAGTTGCTCTGCGAGTCGTGGAACGCGACCGTCTATCCCAGGCCAGGCCGACCCCCCGCCGCCACTGCCCCCCCCCCCCCCCCTAAGCAGGTGGTCCGCGGGGCTCCGCCCAATGCTGAGCGGCCGAGGCGGGGCGAGGCCAAACCCGTGGCCAAGCCACCGCCCAGGAGGAACCGCAGGCCCAGCCACGGAGACGGATACCGCCGCTGCAGCCGCAGATAGATAGAAGAAGCCAGTTCGTGCCGAGGTTGGTCCGGGTGACGGGCCTTCGTCCTCGAGGGGGCGACCTAGAAGGAAGCACAAGGCCCAGCTCCCTTACTTTGCGAATGCCTTCGGCGATGCGTCTTTCTTCCAGGCCACGAGGTGTGGAAAAGCAGAGCTCGGCAATATCGCGCTTTCCAGCACCACGACATGGAACAACAATTCCAACAAGGCCATCCCAGGCCCTCCATTCCCAACCGATGCTTGCGGTTTGGGACTGACCCATTTGAATACTGACAAGCACGGTCCCGTTCGGAATCAGTTTAAGAATCACGGTTGGAAGACATACTCTTGGCAGGACATACCCAGAGGAAGTCATACACGATTTCTTCTGGGAGTAAGGGCCCATCTCCTTTTCCCACGGCCGCACCATGGGGGCCCGAAGTCGGCCCCGACCTCCTTCGGGGACCAGTGGGCAAGCGTCATCGATAATTTTGACAAGACAGGTTTCCCCATGGTTGTGGTCTACCTTGTTTCTGGCGCCGGCATGAACCAAATTGATCGCAACATCATCACGGGTATTCGCACCCATATGTGTTCCTCCAAGATCCCCTTCGCTATTGAGGCCGACTTCAACGTGCCCCCGCCAGGGATCAATCATACAATGAAGGGGCTATGTTGGATTCGAGACGAGGTCGCTACCCCGCAGAATACGTCTTAGACCTTCTCGCAGGCTTATCGCTTGCTGGATTATTGTGTCATTGATCAGCGATTCGGCTGTTCCACCAAGCTCGAGGCCGTCGGGTTGCGGAGTCTGCGCATCGGCATCGCAGGCGCCTATCGGACGAGGCATCGCCTCGACCGACAGAAATCTCTGCGCGCAGTTGAGCGTCGCCCCTCCCCGCCAATAATCTCAGGGCACTCCTGCCTTGGGTGCCTCCTTCCGAGACGGCGAAGGCGGAGGTTGGTGATTTTCGTGCCTTCTGAGAGCACCCGCGATGCAAGGGCCCGTGCCAGTCGGGGGGACCTCCCCCCCGCGGCGCGCGCTGCTCTCGGGCCTGGCCTTGGGCGCCCGTGTGCGCACCTGGCATGGCGGAAGGCTCCCTTGCTGGTCTCGTCGAGCCCCGTGCCTTCCGTTGCGGCGTGGAGCTCCGCTGCCACCGAAGCCGCGCGGAGGATGGGAGGCCGGCGCCGCCAGAAGGCGGAAGGCTTGCATCCGCCCGCGATCGGGGCGCGCCGCCGCAGAGCGCTCCTGGACAGGACCAGGCGGCAGCCTTGCAGGTGCTCGCTCGGCGATTCCACGCCGGCGCCCAGTGACCAGGTGTTGCCTCTGAGCGCCTGGCCGCGAGCCAGCAAGTGTTGAAGGGGGCCACATATGGGGCCCTCGTTACTTCGATATCACCATTTCCACATCTTATCGGATGCCAGTTTCCGCTGCTGGCTCGAAGAGATTTTGCGCCATCCCCAAAGCGGCGAGCAGAACAAGGCCAGGGGCACTACAAGAGGGGGCAAGAGAGCGAGATCCCTCGAAAAAACACCCGCGGACGCCCGGGCGTTCTGCGACGCTGCAGTCCGACCTCTGCAGGCGGAGCGGGCCCGCGCATGTCGCGGGATTTTGATCTCGACACCCGAAGGGTGGGCGGCCTTCACCGACTTGCTCAACCATGTCAGGACGACCTCCAAATGTCCAGCACATTTCGCTTTCAGCATGGTCAGCGTATTTCCAGAGTGCATGTGAGATGATCTCCCGCTCTCTCATTCTTGCAGGTTTCACCAAATCCCGATCAAACCGGACGCCCCTCCATCGCCGAATGGCCATTCAGAAGTCGGGTCTTCGGGGTGAGGCGACCGAGGGATCATCGTGCTTGGCGCTGGCCCTCTATGAAGCGACCGCCGAGCTCGCCGCCAGCCTCGGGGCTCCCCCGAGCGAGCCCTCGCTTGACTTCGGGAAGCTCTCCGCAGCAATGCGCGCCGGATGCGAGCGCGACGTGGCGGTCGAGCTAGGCTTCCCCGCTAGTCCGCGCGTCTTGGAGATGTCGACGCACGCGGCCGCTCGAGTTTTCACCGCACCCCCCGGCTGTTCAGCGCCGTTTCGCTCGACGGGTGGCGTCTTGCAGGGGCCCTTGCAATCGATGTCGTAGGCGCGTGCTCTCGTCGCGTGCCCCATCGGCTTCAGTTTCGCACGCGGGCCGGCGATCCACGCTCGCGCGCTCGGGATTCCAGCGAGGTCCTTGTTCCGGAGGCCCTGGGGCTTCTGGGAAACCGGGATGTCGCCATTGACCTGAGTCATGTATTACCATAGCCCCCCCCCCCAGCCAGGGCATCGTCGCGGGGCTCGTGGAGATGGGGGCGGGGGCTCGAGCTTCGGGGTCTGGGGCGAGATCTGGGGCTTGGCGCCGCCCTGGGACAGCGACGACGAACGCAGACCAGGAACATTTAGGCGAGTAGACTCGTGGGAGTCGGACGCATGGCCCGGAACATCAAGATGGCCCGCAAAGAGAATTCCGCGCGGGCCCGACCACACTTGTTCTGGGGACTTCAAGCCTAAGGGCACTCACGCACCGATGTCCGACGCGTGCGAGGGCGTTCGGTTCGGGATCTCGGATGCGTTCCCGAGCGCGGCTGCGCCGCCACGGGCTCCGCCTTTTCGCCGCAGGTCCAGGGGCAGGAGGACGTTGTCCATCATGTGCCCACGCAGATTCTCG